TTTCCCTCCTTTCCAAACGGACCCTAAGTTACCCTTTAATTAATTCTTTTATCGCCTTCCTAGTTTAGATGCTATTTCAACTATTGCTCTCCATTCTGTATTTGGTAATCAAGTTGTATTAGGACTATTGCCTACTTACAGTTGGACTCGAGGAATACCAAATAATCTTGGAACCTCTGTTATTCTCTTCAAAGTCACTGACTCTTAGGAAACACAGGTTTCTAACTGTAGCCACGAGCAACAATGAGGAACTAGTTTGTTCATCCTCTCTGATCAGTTATGCAACCAGCCCTGCCTTTAACAGATGTGTATGTTGAGGATAAATGTAAAATATGAACATAAATCCATTAATATCAAAAGCTCAAGTAGACACAACACATTTAATAATCACTTTAAAAAAATCAAATGATTTGTTCATGTTCAAACAGTCAAGTAGATAAATTATACACAAAACAACTAAATATGCAGTCAAGCACTAATGTCAAATCTTTTTTTAACCGAAGTCACAGTCTTTATTCACCAAACACCAAAAAGAATACAAGAACATCCTCACAAACAGACTACCACTATTACATCAGTTCTTTACCAGAATCTATACCCCATTTAATATAAAAAAATACATGAGAGAGTATCTTTTCAGTACTAAATACTCCCTCCGTCCTAAATCTTTCTTCCCAGAGCACTATTCCAACTTCACGGGAATTTATATTTATTTGTGTTTTTTCATGGCCTATATGATAAAATAAAATATTCTTGTCACCACTTGTTTTGTTGAACTTTTGATGTAGTTTTTAAATATGTATGTTTTATTTTTTATTTCTATACCAATATTTAAATAAAATAGATTGAAAAAACTTGGGATTTTTCTTCGTTTTGCGCAACGGGAAGAAAGTTTTAGGACGGAGGGAGTACTAATCTTCTTATTGTGGATGACTCCGTTCCTAGCCCTCCAGATTGTACAGCAACAAAATGCCTAAATACCCAGAGTTTTGTCTCTCTCCCTGTTTTTGATCTTCATAATAGCCTCTCCTACATCTTTAAAATCAGCTGCATTAATCTGCATCTTTAGCTTCTTAAACACTGACTTGTAAACCTGTTTAGCAAAGCAACAGTTCCACATAATATGATCCAAGTTTTTCTGAACTTGTTGGCACATACTGAATTTTTATCATTTATTTATTTATTTAATTTTTCAGTGGGCTTGTCATAGCTGATGATGTTCTTAGAAGAAACACTTCTTCTGAAACCCAAGGTATGCTACTCAAATGTGTTTGTTTTCGTGCTCACTGTTCTCTTATACATTTTCACCACAAGTTGTAGCTTCTAACTTGTTTGTTGTGATACACTTTTAGCCCACATAGTGTACCTTTCTATTCATCTTATGTATTTGTTTAAGCATAGTGTAAATATAAGATACTGTAATCAAGTTCGACAGAATTGCAGTTCTCTATTCTTAAAAGTATAAACATTTTTTGTTTTTAGTAAATTACATGTATGGCTCAGCTGATAATATATCAACTCTTTTTTGGTATAAAATGTGTTTGATCACCCATGGTGTACTGCCTTATGCAATAACTGTTTTAGCCGCCGTTAACGTTAATAATAATTTTCACATCCATGCATTGATTTTTATATTTCATGTTCTGATTGAAAAGATATACTTTTCAGCACATTCATGGGGCTATCTCATCCTTCTCTACGTTTTTGTTCAAGTCTCCCGGATTGCTGTTGTTGGAATGTTATTTCCATTTCTGCGTTGCTTTGGCTATGGCTTAGATTGGAAAGAAGCTATTATTCTCGTATGGTCTGGTCTACGAGGGGCTGTAGCATTATCTCTTTCGTTATCCGTGAAGGCAAGTGAGACTTTTTTACTATTTTGTAACTAGTCTCATTGCCCAATTATATTCATACATTGTGTTTTATTATACTTGTTAGACATGATTTTGTCATTGCCAAATAGACCCATAACAACTATGGGGTCTATTGGGCAATGTCAAAATCATAGCTAAAAATGGAAAACCTAACCAGCTTGAGGAAAAAAAATCATAACTCAAAATGGAAAACCTGACCAACAATGACAAAATCACATCTTAAAATGGAAAAACCTGACCAGTTGTAGAGTATGGGACTTGTCCTGCATCGGTTGTGAGGTTAAGACCAAACACGGTCTCTGACATTATAGGCTAGTCTTTTAGAATGAGTTGTCCTACTTGGTTTGTAACAAGTGTTACAGTTAATTAGGAGGATGATTTACGTGTTAGTATCTTTCAATCCTATGGTATGTTTCAGATAACAACATTCCTAATTAGATACCAATGTTGTAATAGTGTTGTAACTTCAGCCGATCTCATATATATATATATATATATATATATATATATATATATATATATATATATATATATGAAGGCGCCTAAATTGACACAAGTCAATTGAAATACCAGTTAAATTCGAGCACCTATAGTGCTTTGTTCGTAAAATTGACGGTTCCTACCCCCCTCCTAAACCCTCCAAGCCAGCCCCCACACCTCCCTTCTCTTAAGATTGCTTTCCGTTCGCCTGATCTGATCTGATCATATTAGATCTGATTTGGTCTACTCTGATTGCAGTTATAATTAAAGTTGTTTTTGATTTTTTCTGGTCTGATCTGATTATAATAAGAATAAAATATAAGCAGAATAATAAGTTGAACGGAACGCTGCCTTAATCACTATTTTGGCAGAATTTCATTCTGCCAAAACTACGATTAAAGGAGGGGGTGCAGGGGACTGGGGTGGGGGTTTCAGAAGGGGTTAGGGGAAGTAGGAACTGTCAATTTTATAAAAAGAGCAGAGTAGATGCTCCAATTGAACTGGTATTGCCAATTGACACCAATAAGAGTGTTGTCAATTGAGGCCAATTGATATGTGGTTTGTAACAAGTGTTATAGTTAATTAGGAGGATGATCTACGTGTTAGTACATTTCAATCCTATGGTATGTTTCAGATAACAACTATCATAGTGAGATATCAATGTTGTAACACTAAGGGGGGTGTATTCAATCTAAATTTTAAAAGATTCTGATAGATTGTTTAAAATCCATGGATTCTATAAACTCAATGGATTATTTTAAGTTTACGTAGAGTTAGATAGATTTTAATGTATTTTATCAACAAGATTTTATAGGATTATGAAAAATTGTTTACAATACATGAATTATGTTTTCCTTTTTTTCTTTTTTCTTTTTTCTTTTCTTCCTTCTTTCCTCCCCAGTAACCCTAGCTATCTCTCTTCTTCGGTCTCCTTTCTTTCGTGCCGAGCCGCCGCCACCATCGCTTCCTCAACTGCTCTCTCGTAGTTGGCCGGCATCGCCGCCACAAATCTCATGGCAGTCTCCCGTCATGGCAGCAATGCCGCCCCTTTCGCCGCCCCGTCCCACATATCGTACGCCGCCTGCCCACCTTGATGTTGCGTTCGCCGCTGGCGTCCGGCTTGAACAGAGATGTGTTGGATGGGGGAGTGCTGAAGAACGAGAAACCGATGCCAGGGAAGTCGCCGGCAAGCATTTCGACCAAGTTGAGCAAAGGCCTGATGGCGTGGTACCGTGATGATTTCTCCATTTTTTTGCCCTTTTAACAATTTTTTGTTCTTCTTTCTATTGGTTGAAGGTTGAAGAAGAGTAGAAGACACGATTTCTTCGAAGGTTGAAGAAGACACATATTTTGCGTGGAGTTGCAAAATATCTACCTTCTTTGTCAGATTTTGGACTTAGATTTCAATTTATACCCAAAGCCCAAAATCCATCAAAATCTATATTTTATAAGAATCTTTTAAAATCAATTGATTTTTGAATACCATTACATTTAGAAGAATATTTTAAAATCTGAATTGAATACACAAAGATTTTAAATGATTTTTTAAAATCTGAATTGAATACACCTAGATTTTAAATGATTTTTTAAAATCTGGGTTGAATATCCACAGACTTTTGAAATCCAAAAAAATACTACAAAGTCCAGACTGAATACACCCCCCTAAGTGTACTAACTTTAGCCAATCTCGTGTGTATATATATTTACATACATACATACATGCATATATATATATATATATATATATATATATATATATATATATATAGGGTGCGGATTATGTGAGAATGCTCTTAGTGAGAGAAATGAGAACATTACATTATTGGTCCATCACGATGCACATTTGGATTATGGCAGCATTCTTGCAGTGTCAAAATTTTTTGACTTATTTACTCAAATGCCACAGTTTTTTCAGATTTTTGCTTATTTTTCTAATCTTTATGGCCCATAGATCTTACACTCTAATGCACCACATGCTTTCTCATTTCTTCACTGGATCCAAAACCTAATATATATATGTGTGTGTGTGTATACATTCATATATGTATATATGTATGTGTGTGTGTGTCTATATATATATAGATATAGTATAAAGAGTGTTCCTATTACAACATATACATCGATTCTTACAACAATCATGTCTCACTTTGATTATTTTCATGCAACATTCACCGTTGGTTTGAAAGTTATTTACGCATATATCTTCGTCCTATTTTTAAAAAAAATCTGAAATTGTTTCTCACAAAAACACACCGCCTATATTTTAACACGTTTTAGAACTCGATATTCCGTTAACTTTGTTCTATTAGATGTGGTACGAAACAATTTTTGATTGTTCTAAATATTTAAGATGTAGATACTCCTTTTTTTCAAATTAGTTTTTTTTTTAAATTTAAATTTGACTTCACAACTATGATATGTGTGATGTAACAACTTTCGATTAGTCCATGAGATTGTACCTTGGTGCCTCGCCTCGTCGCCATGACAACTATGATATGTGTGATGTAACAAACAATGTTCTTTGTGTTATTTCAGCGTTCAAGTGAGAATGCATCTGATATCAATCCAGAGACTGGATCTCTGGTATGTAAAGCAAGCCTCTCATTGAGTTACTCGAAAAATAAATCAATCATACATTTTCTGGTTGGGATCTGCACTAATACACAATCAAACCTAAGATAATATTCTTCATGGGTCTTGATGAAACCTGTTATGCCTTGAGTGCCAAATATATATGTATATAAGATATGGTGTTTATTGCATAATTTCTTTTCACCGCCTGCTACATGCTCACAGTTAAACATACTCAACTTGCAGTTTATGTTCTTTACTGGTGGAATTGTGTTCTTGACACTGATTATCAATGGATCTACAACACAATTCATTTTACACATTTTGAGAATGGATAAGCTATCATCAGCAAAGGTTGGTTTGCAATTTTTTTGTATTTGTCACTAAGTTTTTTATCATTTGAATTTAATTAGTCAAAATGAATTAAATGATGCATTGCTTCCCAAGATATTTATTGTGACTTGTGAGAGATTTCATTTATATCAAGTCATGTACTCATGTCAACTATGAAGTCATGTTCCATAGATACAACAAGGCTGTCTTTTTCATTTACTTAATTTTGCAGCGCCATAGTTAAGGCATGGTACTAGGAAGTTTTATTAAGGAATGCAAAAGCTTTTGTGATGAAAATTTGAGTGATTACTCTATATGATTAAACAATCAAAAGACGGTAGCATGTACTATTGTGTTCCATCTTTCACATTTTATCTCGCAGACTACCATTATCTTAAAGTATGTATAATAAATTTTCTAATTTGTAGGTTATGAAATATACATTCCGTTTATAAAATTTGTATGTTTAAAGGGACGAGTAATTAAAATTTAAAACATGTTATAAACAAAAATATTTATGACTGTCTTATGTGTAGTTGTCTGGTACTTTGGTTGTGCTTTATTAATTGTGTGATTTTTTATTTTATTGTGAAGCGGCGCATATTGAAGTACACAAAGTATGAGATGTTGAACAAAGCTGTAGAGGCATTTGATAGCCTTGGAGATGATGAGGAACTTGGACCTGCTGACTGGCCTACAATCAAAAGATATCTTACATGCTTAAATGATTTAGAGGATGAAGGAATTCACCCTCATTATTCATCTGGAAATGATGATACTATACATCATCTAAATACGAAAGATATCCGAATTCGCTTCTTGAACGGTAAGCACTTTTCATAGTCAGCGCTTTTTAAATTTCTCTATGGGCAGTGTCATATCTTCTTGATTCACATGGTTGAACTTTGAAATGATTTTAACCTACACTTTTTATAAACTATCTAAAACAGATGTAGTTTTGAGTTGTTTATTGGTTTAACTAAATTCGTAACAAACAACTTGTTTAGGATATTTTGTTCTTATTAAAAACATTAATTTGGTCGAATTGAGTTTTTTGGGTTCAAATATGATTTTTTTGGAACAAAAAGATGTTTTCAAACACACTCTTTTTTAGGACCTAGGGAATTATTTTAAAAAATGAAAATGGATCTTTTACACACACTGGCACACACACACACATACATATACATATACATATACATATATATACACACACACACACATATATATGTATATATATGTGTGTGTGTGTGTATATATGTATGTATGTATATATATATGTATGTATATATATATATGTATGTATGTATATATATATATATAATTATATATATATATATATATATATATATATATAGACTTTGGTTCAAATGAGAATAATGCACAGTGAAAGAAATAAAAATACATTTGATCAATTAGATTTAAGATCTAAGGGCTATTAGAAGTAAAAATCTCAAAAACATTACAACGGAAATTTTGTAAATAAATCAAACTTTTCGAAAATGCACTATTGCAAGTGTAAAATGCATCAAGACGGCGTGAAAATGCACAATTCCCATTTCTTGCAGTAAAGATCATTCTCACTTGTGTGTGCGTGTGTCTATATATGTGTGTGTGTGTGTATATATATATATAAACAACCTTTGCTCCAATGTATTTATCTAGTTTTACTTTTTTCATTCAAAGTGAACAAACTTTGATCACCAATCAAAAGAAATTTGTATTACATATTACTATTATTACAATGAAAGACTACCTCCGTCCCAGAGTATTTGTCCAGTTTGACTTTTTCGAGTCAAACTGGACAAACTTTGAACTCCAATTACTCTCAATTTGTATTACATATTAGCATAATCAAATACAATTTTGAAAGTTCTCAATACGATAAATCCAATAAAGTCATTTTTATATTAAAATACTTTACGGTTTTTATTTAATTGAAGCTCAAAGTTTGTCCAGTTTGATTGGAAAAAGTCAAACGAGTTCAAAGTTTGTCCAGGGAGTAGTATTTTAAAAGTTTATTGGAAGAAAAATTTGTATCAATGCAATTTTCATTTAATTGGTTCTTTAAAACAGGAGGTTATCCATATTTAGTCTCTATTACCATATATTACATTCGTGGTCCTTCGTTTATGGGTACCTTTCCATTGTATAGTCTTTTTTTGGCCTTTCGCCATGTTGGTGGTAAATTGAAGGCTAAAAGTGCAACACAACAACCATGACTATGACTTAGAATTTGGATTCCGACCCGTTGCGGTGGGCAACAATTCTAATCGACAAAACAACACATCAACGACCTCTAGCAACTGGTTTTGCTATGACAAGGATGGAGTGTCGATTTGAAATTAAACTTTTAGCCCTGAATTTAACACCACCATGATAGAAGGCCAGAAAAGAGACTATATGTGGAAAGGCGACCATAAGCGAAGGACCACGAATGTAATATTTGGTAATAGAGGACTAAATATGGAACCCCCTATTTTAAAGGACTAACTATAGAATTTACTCTTTTATCTTACTAGTATATCCTGGGCCACTGCTCTATATTATCCCTCAATGTTTTTTGGGCCTAATTGCTTTGCTCACGATGTTGCTCTTTGTCTTGATAAACTTGTTGCTTGATTCATTAAACGCACATTCCTTTGGTTATTCCCAAGGCGAGAAAGGATATTGAGGGCTATGCACCTTCAATACAATATGTTTATACCTCTGGTGATGTCACATTTTTGGGAGAGTAGCCATATATTACTATATATATACCTGTTCAGCCTGGGGTATTGGTGTTGCTTGCATTTGGGGTCCTGTTTTTATATAAAAAAAGGCATCACCTGTCACAGATTATTTTCATGCTCTCATATTTATAGGGCATTTTTGTCCCGCTTATCGCCATCGTCCCGTCCAGCTGATAGAGGTTCTACTCATGCCCTCACATCACTTACCACCCATTCCGTCATCTATTATAATCCCATATCAATCTTAGTCATATTTTGATCTTCCTATTGCGCTGTTTATAGGTATATGTTCCTCTTGCAACCCTCATCATGTTTATAATTGTTCAAGTTACTATCAGTTTTCTTCCTCCCTTTATGTTTTTTTTAAAATTTTTCTTACACTACTCAAAGGTATGCCGTCTGAGAGGCACTTTCCTATCCAAGCTGATGGCATGCTCTGATTAATTAAATGAAGGCATTGGACTTTGACCATACATGGACTCTTGGTCCCTCTCCTCAAGGAAAGTCCGTTTTTAGCTGCCACTAGGTTTTTACTGCCAAGATTGGCCCCAACGAAAGGGAAAATGATACAATCAGGTTTATGGGCTTCATTATAGTCAAGTTGTTACTTGGTCCGTATTTGGAAACTGTCATAATCATGAGGGTTTTATTAAATATAATAAAAATCAGACATAGGGGCTGTTTGGCAACTTCTGAATAGGTAAGTGCTGAACCAGTAAGAGGTCTGAACCATTAAGTGCTGAACCAGTAAGAGGTCTGAACCATTAAGAGCTAGTATATTGCTTAACTATTCAGAGGCAAATGTCTGATCAATTCAGATAAGAGGTCTTAACCATTCAGACTCTGTATAATACTTAACCATTCAGAGGCAAATGTCTGAACCATTAAGAGGCTGAAACAAACAGCCTGAACCATTAAGTGATGAACCATTCAAACATCTGAACCATTAAGAGGCTGAAACAAACAGCCTGAACCATTAAGTGATGAACCATTCAAACATCTGAACCATTAAGAGGCTGAAACAAACAGCCCCATAATGTATTAGTCAGAAACATTTTGTTTCTTTTTAATTAGCGGTGACCTAAATGGTTCAAATCACATTAGAATTGACATGCATCATAAATAAATGTGCTTCACATGCCTTCAGTGTCAATGACTATTGTAAGTTGTAACCATCATCACCATATTGTCCGCTGTGGTGCTGCCCCAAACAACTGCCGCTGCAATTACAGTCAACTACCAATTGTACTGTTAAACACTGCTGCTCTTGATGGCCACCATCTCTTCCTATTTCCATCACATAGCGACATTACATATATTTTTCAAATATGTTAACAAAATTAGAAAACACAGGAAATAAAGAGAAATGGACTGTTAAAAACTAGAGAGAGAGAACAAGAAAATCAGAGGACAAAAGTAAATAAGCAATTGGAGTCAGGTCATGGACAATGTGAACACACCTATGGGCATTTTGGAAGGCAAAATATGACCTCCAGGGGACAAAACTCTCATTTTAGAGTCACTTACCTATTCAATACAGAGTAATTCTTTTCATGTATTATGTTTATGATGTGGTAGCATAGATGATCAATAAGAGGGTGCTTGCTATTTCTATGTGAAGTTTCTTTCCCTGTCTGGCCCACACAATATATGTTATTAGTTGTATCTAGCTGGTTATTTTGTGTTAGCTGGAGAGTTTTATTTTATAATGTGAAATGTATTCTTAAATTTTAGCAAGTGCATGAATAAAATTTGTAGTGTGATCTTGTCAATTTCCTTTGTTTTAGAGTGATACTTTTTAATCCAACAAAATCTTTATTTGAAAATAACACTTTTGCATATTATCTACATTACAGTACTCCCTCTATCCCACTATTTTTGGGACATGGAAGAGTTGTGCAATGTTAGGAAAAATGAAATTGGGTGGCTAATATTGCATTTGTAAAGCATGAATTATTTGAAATACAAATCGTGCCAAATATGGCATGTGGCCAACACTTTGGATTTGCAATGATTGTTACCACTACGTTGTTTGCTAGGTGTTCAAGCAGCTTATTGGGGAATGCTCAATGAGGGAAGAATAACACAGAATACTGCAAGCATTCTAATGGAATCAGTAGATGAAGCACTTGACTTAGTATCTAATGTGGCGCTGTGTGATTGGAAAGGCCTAATAAGTCACGTTAACATTCCAAGTTATTACAAGTTCCTTCAAACAAGCATTGTCCCTCAAAAGATCGTCACGTTCTTCATTGCTCAGAGATTGGAATCTGCTTGTTACATCTGTGCAGCCTTTCTTCGGGCCCATAGGATTGCAAGGCAGCAGTTATATGACTTCATTGGTGAGTATATATTTTTCGCCATGGGTATATGTTATCTTTGATGTCCTTGAACTTGTTTGTTTGAATTCGTTTCTATATTTTGTTATTTTGGAGGAAGAAAGCTAGTTCCCCTTATTGAAATTGGCATGTCTCTCGATTGATTTAATAAAAGGATGTTTGGCTGAGGGTCTCTTGGCGAGCAGAGGGTGTTTTAGTTTTCTTTTTGTTTTGAGCAGAGGGTCTCTTGGTGAGGCCTCTCTACTTTTCAAGTAGGGAAAAATCTGCATACATCACCCTCCCCCAACCACACTTTGTGGGATTTTAATAGGTTTGTTGTTGTTGTAAAGTGAGTTGTGATCTTATGACTTGTTGCTATGCTGACATTGTATTGAAATGTTATTTAGCTGAAATGGAGGTATATTTAAGCTATATGCGAGAACCCACCTTCAATATTGTATATTCGTTCTCAATCAATACTTTGATAGTGTGTAATACATCAAACTTGTGTTCTAAATATGAAGAGAGAACTACAAGGTGATAAGTTTGATTCCTATTTAATAGATGTGTGCTCAATTTGATTGACTATTCTCTGCAGGAGATAGTGAAATTGCATCAAGTGTGACAAACGAAAGCATGGAAGAAGGAGAGGATGCAAGGAGATTTCTTGAGGAAGTACGTCTCACATTTCCTCAGGTTAGTGAAACTTGAAGCACATCACGTTTTGATCTCATTTTGTGTGTGTACTTTTGCCAATGGAGCTAAGAGAGTTATTCTCTACAATTTACAATGTGTTTACTTGAGGTAAACAATGGAGTAAGGGGAGCATGTATACCGTACACCCGGCTATACGTAGAGCTAGGTTCACCCGGTGAATATTCATTTTGAATCAATAGAATGTTCATTTCTAATAGTGTTTATTCTGAGCATAATGTTCATTCTGAAACAATCTAGTGTTCATTCTGAAGCAATTTTTTTAATTATAAGTTTGCCATGATGTACCAAGAGAAAGGTAAATCCGGCTGTACCATATAATTTTCCGAGTTGAACATAGTTTCAACACTTTGGGGATCAAGATATACACAATCCTACCCATGTAATAGAGAGGTTGTTTATGTTACACCCTTGATGCATTTAGTGCCCAAAACTTCATAAAAAGTAAGAGGCGAGGGAAGTTTTATGTGCCATTTTGATTTAAGCATGTTCATTGAAGCTGAATGAAACTAAACTAAAGTGAAATAAACTAAACTTATAGTAAAAGGTTGAGGTGGTTTGGGCACGTGAAGCGGTGAAATGCTGAAGCCCCAATGCGGAGATGTGAGACGCTTATGATAGTGGGCATGGTGTGGGAAATGGTAGACCTAGGAAGAATTGGACAAGGGTGATTAGACATGACTTAAGTTCTCTAGCCCTTACTGAGGATAAGAGCATCTGGACATCTAAGATTAGGGTAGTGGGTTAGTCGGTCGGGTCTTAGGCCTTAGTTTTTTCTCTTGTAGTGTGTGCTTTCTTTGCCTGAAACTTTTTGTCTATTTGCGCTTTTCTATTCCTTGATTTTCTCTCTGTGCATTGAGTTTGTGCTTTGTGTGCCTTATGTGTTGCTCAAGGTGGGGTCTCTTGGAAATAGTTTCTCTATTTTCGAAGAGGGATAAAATCTGCGTACACACTGGTTTTGTGGGATTCTATTGGGTTGTTTATTATCATAGTATTCATCACCACCATCATTATTAGCAAGTAGCAAGGAAACCTTTGTTTGGTCCTCTCTTTGATGTCTTGTCCCCGTTGATGGCGGAAACATTAGCATGCAAGGAAACCTTGGTCTGGTTGAAAGCTAGGGACACAGCCTATGTGCGTCTTTTCTCGGATTGCTCTACTCTATGTCATTATTTGGGTTTGGCTTCTACTAATTCCTGAGCTTACTTTGACATCTCTTTTCATGAGTGCAAGGTGTTACTTCATACTTTTACTAATTGTTCAGTTTTGTTTGTTCCCCGCTCCTCAAACTCTCTAGTCCATCTTTTGGCCACCATGGCCTATTCCCAATCTCAAACGATGTACTAGGACTCTGTTCCCCCTATTTTTTTTCCTGCTTTGGTTAATCATATGTGAGTTTTTTCCCTAAAAAAGCAAGTAGCAACCATTATTAGAAGCTGTGACTTGTATTCTTTTCATTTTAAATTATTTGAGTGCTTCATAACATTTAGAAGTGAGTGTTATTATTTCGGGTGATGCTATATGCTCTCCTTAAATGGCTATGTCCTCACATTACACTTGACTTTGCTAAATCCACACTAATATCAAATTTTTATTAATGAATGTGGATTTTGCAAATTTAGGTAAAAGGTGTGGATATAGCCATTTAGGGAGTGGATTTAGCAACACCTTGTTATTATTAAGTTGATATGTGTTTGTTAGAGTCTATCCCACATCGAAGTTGAATAGAAAAGTAATCAATATATAAGCTCTTGAATTGAACTTAGTATTCGATTGGATTCAATCTTTTAATGTGGTTCAATCCAAGTGTCTTATTACCCAATCTAGTTATCTTTACCTCATCCTAAATTCTATCATGGTATCGGAGCAGGTTTTGGCCCACCTCATTTGTTAAGGTGTTCGTCTAGACGTTCATTCCTAGTAGCCCGTTTATCTTTAGCCCAGTTATCCGTATGGAGTATGTACCCAACAGCATGTGGCTCGTTTAACCTGATTGTTCATCTGAAAGTCCATACCCAGCTGCTCGTGGTCCCTTACGTGTTGGCGCTCAAAAAAAGTCAAGGAGATGAGAATCTATTTGCAAGTGGTCAATCAGTTAGATTCAAAATGGACCGGTTGTCCACTTGAGGGGGAGTGTTCTATTTCACATCGGAAGTTGAATAGGAAAGTAATCGGTATATTAGCTCTTGAATTGAACTTAGCAATTGGATTCAATCTTTTGATGTAGTTCAACCCAAGTGTCTTATTACCCAATCTAGGTATCCTTACCTCATCCTAAATTCTATCAGTTTTAAAAAAAAGTTGATATTTCATTTTTCGTTCATATTTATAATTTATTACGGAGTATTATTGTTATGATAATAATATATTTTCTATTTGTTGTGGTTTGATGTTATTGTTTAATTTCTCTATTAAATTTTTGTGTATCTATGTATACACACACACACACATGTCTATGTGTGTACACACATATAATACATAGGTCGCCATATTGTCGCTATGGTGATGTGAAGGTTCGTTGGCACCTTGTCTTGTTGTTGTAACAACTATGTGTTGTGAATATATCGAATTTTAGTTCAATTTTGTTTTTTGAGTTGTCAAACTATGAGCCATTTCGAAACCTGGTTATTGGTATTGGTTTCGAACGGGTCAATTGTGGTACATTTGTATTGAGAAATGCACAATGAGATAAATCATTTGGCCCTCATCGTTTCCATATGGTATGGGATTAGGGAGCCCTGATTTGTTACTATGTGTTGTGCAATTTTATTTTACTCTCCTAATTGCAAAACTTGAGAATTGTCAAAGGAACCAATTCAACCAAAAGCTCAAGCTTGTGGTTGTGGCCCAGGAAGAGTTATTTATATTCTAACACGCCCCCTCACTTGTAGGCGTAGTCTTTTTCGAGCCTTGCACGTGAAACTTTTTAATTTTCTTAAAACTGGGTGGCGATGAGTTTCGAACCCGTGTCCTCTTAGTCAACAAGGCTCCGATACCATGTCAAAGGAACCAATACAACCAAAAGCTCAAGCTTGTGGTTGTGGCCCAGGAAGAGTTATTTATATTCTAACAAGAATCACTTACCTTCTCCAAATTTTGTATCATTTGGGCGTTTTGCTTTGCCGATATCAAATTATTAATTGATTTTGAATTTGTCTCCTTAGTTATTTACTACCAAAAAAACCCTGCCTAGCTTTGTCTATGCTCGCCGCTGATTTTTTTTTAGTTTAGTACTTTAGCACCATCTAATCACCTCAACATTGTCCACTCCTCCCCCTAGCCCAATTGGGAAAGGTCCAAGTTTAACCCTTATCACCTGGTGCCTTTTAGAATATAGCTCTACTACACTGAACTATAATTTTGCTGCACCTTTTTGGATTTTGTATAAATATGAAACCTCCAGTACAGGAAAGTACACAATAAAAGTTACAAACTTCATCGTTTTCACAGCCATGAAACACAATCTTTTGGCGTCATGTCAACATATTCATTTAACTTTTTATTTCAATTTGCTTGCTTTCTTTCTTGGGATGATTTTTCTGGTACCTGTTAGTATTCTTTATTTCTGAATGGCTTTTGAATGTGCTCAGGTTCTCCGTGTTGTCAAAACTAGACAAACATCTTATGTTGTTCTGAATCGATTGATTGACTATGTGCATAATCTTGAAGAGATTGGTCTGTTAGAAGAAAAAGAGATGATTCATCTTCATGATGTTGTACAGGTAATTTATTATTTATTGTTGTAGGCAATATTCATAAATTTCTATAAACTAACAATGTATCAACTATCAACAACAGTACTCCAGTGACTCAAAGGCTCCCGTCCATTGCGGGGTTGGGGGGGCTATCAGTGGCAGATCTACTGATCTAGCGATGGGGGCACTTGCCCCCAATCGATTGTTTAATTACTTTAATGCATACTTCTAAATTACCTTTAAAAGTAAAATTTTCCCCGATAAAAAATTATTTGCCCCTAAAAAAATAAAGTTTCGAGTAGAAAAATGAAATATTTAACATTAAAATAAAAGAATATAAAAGTGAAATATTTAACAGTACTAGAATATTTTTTGAAAGTAAAGATTACAAGAGAATAAAATTATAGGAAGTATTTTTGAGATTTTTTCATTAGTTATTTGAATATTTGATTCGGATGAAATTATTTTTTTGTGATTTCACATTGCTTTTATACCAAACAAATTGGGGTGCTTCCCCCTAACTCCTGCACTACTTTTTCCCCCGGTCACTCTGATTCCTGAATTTGCCACTGACCTCTATGTTTAAAACATAGAGCGGCTGTTTCTAGATGACTCATGATGAGTGTCAAACGTTGCATTGACCAAGTGCTACTACACTATTGAAAGAAGCGGAGAGAATTTGAAGTCATTTTGCTTTATTCCATCAAGTTTATATAAAAATATATAATAATTAAATGAGTCATTATTGACAATGGTTTAGCTTCTAGTAAGGAATGGGCTATATCAAAATGGCACTTTAAATTTTTATTTTTTTAAATTTTCTTTTAATTGGGCCTATCTCCACCCTAAAAACGTCCTCAAGAGATAGAGGTGTGCGAAACTTTATAACCTAGAATATGGTCCAATAGCCATCAATTTGGGCTACTTAATACACCCCTAGAAACAAAGTTGGACAACAAAAGGCCAAGCAGAATAATCCCACAGGTCCCAAATCGTAGAAATGGCAAATGGGTGCTCTGATATAGTGATACCTTGTGAATTGTAATTGTAATACCCAACCAACTCAACCAAAAACTTTAGTTGATAGTTGGAGTTCAAAGAAAGTTATACTCCCTCTTTCCCAAGATATTCGCCCTATTTAACTTTTTTTCAATCAAACAGGATGAAATAAAAAATGATTACATATTAATACAATGAAGTAATCTTTTGTACGTAATATTTTTGCAATATAAATCTAATGAAGTCTTATTAATATGCAATGCAATTATTTAATGAATGATCAAAGTTCCTCCAGTTTTATTGAAAAAAACTCAATTGAACAAATACTTAGTGACGAAGGAAGTATATTATAACATGGTCCCTCACTGGAATACCCCTTGTGCAGAAGCATGGCTGCTACAAAGACTCCTACATGCATGACAATTAACACGGGGTTTCTTGAGAATTGAACTCGTGACCTTTATGTTAACAAAATTCTTTATATACAAAATAAAAGAGCTAAATACTTAGTGGAAATAGAGTTTAATTATATGGTATGGTCATTGATATTATTATTATTATTGTTATTATTATTAGGGTTGTTATTATTAGTACTCTTGTTATTATTATTAGTTTCCTGTTAGTAGTCCTATTCTAAGTTAGTTAATCTTACTTGATTATAGGTTAGAATGATTAAGGTAGGTCTCTTGTAGGGCTTTTCCTATTTATACTCGCACAACAACAAACCTAGTAAAATTCCACAAAAGTAGAGTCTGGAGAGGGTGTGTATACGCAGACTTTGCTCCTACTCGAAAGTAGGGGGGCTGTTTCCAAGAGACTCCCAGCTCAAGCACAATCAGCTTAAACAAACAAAGAACACAACAGGAACAAAGAAGTAGCAAAGCAATGAGACAAAAAACACATAAACTGCGTCTAGCTATTAGACCCCAAGTATAGAAAACACACAAAGACAAGAGATCATTGTATTTCTATGTATCGGCCTTCTTGTACTGATCAAGAGGTGAAATATATTCTTTGAATCCCTTTCCAAATAATATTAGAATTAGCAAATTTAAATTCCGAAGCTTGTGGTTGTAATTCTTCCTTAATGCATGAACAGTAGTCAACCGCTCCCTACATTGAGAGAAGTCTTAACCTTCCTGTAAATCTGACCATCATCTCCCGGCTTGTTCTAAGTAGCCGCGCAGCACGCGCTGTCTGTGACCACAGTTTTTACATTTCCATGATTCTTGGGGTTTCCATCTCTTCCTAATTATCATCTTTAATACGGTCTATAATAAGTGTTCAAATCATGGTTCTTTGATACAGTCAACATTTCATTCCTTGGCCATTTCTTCCTAATTATTTTCTTTAAAATATGTGCAGACTGACCTAAAGAAGCTCCTACGGAACCCCCCTGGTGTAAAATTGCCATGTGTTCATGACTTGATTAGTATAAATCCTTTCCTAGGAGCCCTTCCTTCAGCAGTATCTGAGACACTAGTTGGCTGTACTAAAGAAATTATGAAGCTAAGTGGTTCTGCCCTTTACAAACAAGGAGATCAGCCAATTGGTATTTGGCTTATTTCAAATGGAGTAGTGAAGGTAATATCATGTTTTATAAGATACATCAGTTTTGACAGTTACCATCTGCAGTTGTTTAGGGATCATTAACATACACTATATGTCCTTGACAGTGGACAAGCCGGATATCGAGCCATAATCACCGACCGTGTCCCACATTTACACATGGAAGTACATTGGGATTGTATGAAGCTCTTGTTGGAAAGCCATACATCTGTGATATTATTGCTGATTCAGTGGTTCTCTGTTCTTTTGTTGAAACTGAGAAGTTACTTTCTGCTCTTAGATCTGATCCTACCATAGAAGATATGTTTTGGCAGGTACAGTTTTGATTGTTTTTTTTCCTAATTAAGTTACAAGTGTAAGTTAGGTTCAACTAAAAGTTGAAAGACTTGCCTAATTCTTTATGTTTAGGTTTGTAAAGAAATAAAATAGGAAATGAATAAAGCTGATTAGAAAGTCGCACTTGAACTCGGGAAGGCAAATAACTGCAGACTTTGCATAAACTTTTTTTAAATGCATTGAGTTTGCTAAACGATTCATGTTCAAAATGATATATTGGACTGTGACTTAGTGATAAGGAAAATTTTTACTTGTTGAAAACATGGACTTGATATGTATGTCAGAACGGCAGAACCTAAGTGTTTGATGAATCCCATGAGAAAAAGAGGTAGTTTTATCATTAACATGGGTGATCCTTTGAATTCCAGAGAGGAATATAGCGGTTTGCAGTTCTAGTTTTGATGATAGTTAGATATACAGATCAATTTGGGGCTAGGAAATTTACAGGGGTGCGCTAGACATATTCCTATCTAAGTTTGTGTTGTGTTGTTTGTGCAAGACTTATTCTCTCGAACAGTAGCCTCTAAAATTATGCACACAAGCTGTTTAGGTGTAGTATATAAATGTGAAGTAAATCTCTCCTTTGAAGGATTGTTTTGGGGTGGGTTAGACCCGATTTGATATGTTATCAAATTTGTGGGACAATCATAGTTTGGGGTATCTTGTTGGGGTTGTTGTAGGCCCATTTGTCCACTCTTTTGGTTGTCCAGACCAGCTTGGGCTAGGCCGAGTGAGGTGTGTTGAGTATTCAAACAACCGTTCTTTACGGGATAGTATGCGTCTTGTATGTAGCTGTAACTATAACTCGCATTTTGAGCTTCTTCTTGGGGTGAATTAGGCCTGATTTAATAGAAAAGAATTTTCCTGTTTTGATTGTAGTGGGTTGTATAATTATTCTCTTAGGCATGTGTTCGTTATGAGCTCATTCGTATCAAAACACTGACCTTAACAGTCTTTCTAGCTTGTGGCTTTTGTGGAGTTTGTCTTATATTCTTTGATCCCTGTATGGCTGTATCCACAGGTGCCCAAATATTCATTCTGTTTTTGTATGTATCATATGAGTCTCAAGGGCTAGTAGCCTATTATTAATGTTCTATTATCTATAAAGGGCAAGGTTCCCATGACATTGGGAACCAATGTCATGGGATAACCGGGAGGCGCTCCGGTGCCCCGTTCGTAAAATTGACGGTTCCTACTCCTCCTAACCCCCCCGGTAAACCCCCCACCCCGCCCCAACCCGAACACACACCCCCACCCCCTTCAATTGCACCCCACAAGTTGATTTTGACTTTGAAGTCAAAATAGATCCCCTTGGTTCCCATGACATTGGGAACCAATGTCATGGGATAACCCGGGGGCGCTCCGGTGCCCCGTTCGTAAAATTGACGGTTCCTACCCCTCCTAACCCCCCCGGTAAAGCACCCCACCCTGCCCCAACCGGAACACACACNCAAAGTCAAAATCAACTTGTGGGGTGCAATTGAAGGGGGTGGGGTGTGTGTTCGGGTTAGGGGCGGGGTGGGGGGCTTTACCAGGGGATAGGAGGGGTAGGAACCGTCAATTTTACGAACGGGGCACCGGAGCGCCCCCGGGTCATCCCATGACATTGGTTCCCAACCAATGTCATGGGAACCAAGGGGATCTATAAATATATATTAAAAATCTAAGAGTGAATAAAGTTTGAAACCCTTGAACTGTGGCCTTTTACCTTTATCTTCCGTCCAATAAAATGTTTACAATGCACTGAAATAGTGGTAGGTTAGTATTTGCTGGACTCAATTAAGTTTATGCTTGCCCCTAACTGAACTTTTGTTAGTTTTGCACATTATGCACTCATTTGGCGTTCGTTGATTTTCCAATCATTTTTACTGACAAGTTGAGTTGTCAGAAGTCATTGTTGGGATTAACTTTGAAAAACAGTATTTTTTATTGTGCATTATAATGCCCGTTGTTTCATCTAATTCCTTTTACCTTTTTTCCATTTCACACATTATCTGGAAGTTATTTTTAATAGAGGTAAATGTAGTTGAACGGGTTAGATGCGTTAAAATTATTGATATTAGGCTTGAAAGGTATATAGACACCGTTATCATACTAATAGAATTAGGCAAGTACTAAGTGGATAATTTTAAAGAATAAAGATGCAAACGCTTTTACTTTTTATAATGGTACAACAAAACTCTTCCATCACATGTGCGCACATGCATGTTGTGTTCTGGTTGTGTTTCTCGGATCACTAGCTGCTGCTCACCATGTGCAAGGGCCGAATCCGAATCAAGCAGTCATGGTCCTACCAGTCCCAGTAAGGACCTGATTTCAAAAATATTAAAAACAAGTATTGTATTACTATGTTCTGTACTCTTATTTTATTGAAGGTTTTAAATTTACTGAAATTGTAACGACTATGGGCCTATGGCTGAATATATAAAAGTAAGATCTAAAAATGATGGAATATGTGCTATTATAATTCATTTTAGTAACATCAACCACAAAATTACTCGTTGCTCTGGATAATGATTTTTACAATATCAACATATTCAACTATCGGTCAAATATGTTACGGAGTAGGTTTGTAGCATAAAAACAAATTGACGGATAATTGAACAGATGAGGTAAAATAGTTGACTACATCTTAGGGTTTGACTCTACTGGCTTAGTTACAAGTCAATTTTTGTAGGGCATTTCTTTTCGCAAATTGTAGGTTTATCTGCTAGTCTATTTTTGTAAGAATATCGTGTTTTATCAGTGGATGACAGTCTTCTGTTGTATAGGAAAGTGTGACTATTCTTGCCAATGTCTTGCTTCCTGAAGTCTTTGGGAGTATGAGGATACCCGACTTAAGATCTCTTGTTGCACGAAAATCTGCACTGAGCTCTTACATAAAAGGGGAAAGTTTTGAATTGGCCGATCATTGTATTGGTTTTTTATTAGAAGGATTTGTGAAGTGTCAAGGTGATGATGGCGAGTTAGTATCCTCTCCTGCAGCATTATTGCCTTCTTACATAGGCCAAAGTTCCCAAAGTTCTGGCACAGAAGGTATTATTATGATTTTCATAAAATCTTCAGAGCGTGGAACCTAATACTGAACATTCAAAAACTTAAAATTGAAGCCTTAAACTGATCTTCACTTCAATTTGAACACATTCATAGTTGAACTTTAACTTTACTCCAGGTGCCCACTAGAGCGTCTCTAATTTAACATAACTGTAAGCTTGGCTTGACGGAACTTCAATTAATGCCAGACTGCAGTCAAAGTTAAATTCACATGAGTTGACTGGTTCATAATCACAGTTGGATTTGAGGCAGAAGTAATAAACAGTAGAAGCAATATCAGTAGTAGCACTAGCAGTTGTTGACTTGTACCTTTGAATTGTAAAACTCCACACAATCTATCTACCTGCTTTTGTAAATTCTGCAATTTTCCCGATGAAGTCGCAGATCACTAACCCTGAGAAAGTTTGAATTTCAAAGTCTTGCTAGTCATGAACTACTCCCTCTGTTGGAAAGTGAAAATGCATCATTGGAATTTGTTTAGAAGTGAGAAATGTTGTGAACCACAAAATCTTATCTTTAAAAAGAAAAGGGTGAAGTGTAAAGTTTATTTTGGGACGGGCGGTGTAATATTTTAAGGAGTGCTTACATAGGAAAATAATGGGTCCTAAGTAATTAACTAGGCCCTAAGGTTTCTTATTTTAGGGTTTCTATTACTATACTTTAACACCCCTTTTGAAGCTAAATAACCATATGCTCTGACCTTAATAAAAAAGTTTAACTCTTTGTGCTAAAATCTTGACCTTCTGCTCACTTTAGTCTGATTGGAACAAATTTTACGTTGTACCAGAACTTAAACTTTTTGCGCTCACACAGTCACACCAGCATCTTTAACCTGAACTACTTTATTTTACCAAGCTCTACTTTTAGTTTGCATTACTTTGAAAATTTCATAATCGAACCTTTTTTTGCCTCAAAAGGGTATATTTGTACTTCAAAATTAAAATTTTACCAAAACTATCGAACTTTAATCGTGTCGGAATATAGGAAAATTACAGGCTATAAGTGTAATGTTGTATACCTAGGGTTTGCAAAACTAGGTGTCTATTGCAGTACTCCCTCCATCCTAAAAACGAATTTCCACTTTCCTTTTTTATCGGCCGTTGTCCCAAAAGAAGCTTCACACTTTCACATTTCCTTTAAGGGAATATGTCGGTCATATCATTTCTCTCTCTAGCCTACTGAGTTAACCATACCGTACTAATTTGTATGCTATGCTTTCAAGTTATATTTCGTACTTCGTTGCATTCTCAATTAAACCAGTCATCATTGTTCTACTACATACATACATACATATATATTTGTGTGTGTGTGTGTGTTGGTGTTAGAGCAGGCAGTTTTTTACATCAAGCACATTGGTATCATGTTGAGACAAGAGCTAGGGTGATCATACTTGATATTGGAGCACTTGAATCAATCAGAGGCCACCATAGATTGTCATCCTTGTATTTATTACATCCAGCTGAGCACATGCCTAGATCACTTAGTAGAGAGAGTGGGAGCCTCATGAGTTGGCCTGAACATTTTTCTATGGCTGGAGAACATTACAACAATCATGAAGGCACTTGTCAACAGCAAGACATTTCTTCCACACAGGGAATGCAACTTTGTATCTCCGGCGGAACGGTAAGTCAGAAGCTTCTTTTTTTGTTACTGTTGGTGCTGTTATATGTGCCCCATCCATCCCATAAGAGGAATCCTCAACTTTCGTGACCATATATCATCGATTTTTGATTAGACATGAGAGGACATTCATCTACGTAGGAACATGTAGTAGGCATGTACTGATAGTACATGTGTTGTTGTTTCCATGTCTGCGACATTAAGTGTTCATTTGTACTTCATATTCCTAATCTTCGTTACGTGCCTATATAAGGTTATCTTTGTGAAGTGGTCCCTCCATCCCATAAAAATCTTCACAATTTCTCTTTCTGAACGTTCAAAGATAACTCACACTTTATTTCCTCTTAAAGAAATGAACATGTGACTCAAAAATTTCTCTCATCTAAACAAATTACACCGACACTTCTCACTTTTCAACACATTTTTTTAACTCTGTGAAAGCATGAAGTTTTTACGGGACAAAGGGTGTATGTAATATGAAGAAGTATTATAATTTATAAATAAAAAATCTCTTCTTTCAAAAGAAATCATCAATTATAGTTCTATGGAGCAGTTCAAATGACACCGGTGTATGGTGTCATTTGAGGGCCCGGACCTTGTCCTACCCCCATAAACCCCCATCCCCCTGGTTGACGCTGTCATCACCCCCACTGTATATAGCCTATCAGCCCAAATGGAGCCCCCTCCTCCCATGGACGACCTGCATATCCCGTAAATGGAACCCCCCCTGGACCCATCCCCGGTTCCAGGCTCAACAGCGCACCATAGGGCCCACAAATGGTGCAGTGTCATACAAAGTATAATGACACCATACACTTGTGTCATTTGAACCGCACCAATAGTTCTATACGTAAACTTAAACATCCTTAACTTGTTTGGAACACTTATTTTATACCGAGTATAAAAGTAAAACATTAAATGGGTTAATGGACAGCAGAATGTTTTCGAATATAAAAGTAGTCTTTGAATGACACTGCCACTAAATACATACTATGAATCTGCTGCCCTGGAGTTGGGATATGACATCACCGTTGCGGTAAAATGTGTTCCACATATCACATATGTACTCCGTAGCTTTGTCTATAGTTTCAAACAAGTGAGTATGTGGTGGATTTGGCACCTAACTTCATTGCTAATTATATGTGTTGATTTGAAGTATCAGATGAGCAGTACCAAAGGGCACGCTTCAGGTAACGCCCCTAAAAGCAGTCTTTCTCAAAGTCTGCCATATCCAATGATTCCATCAAATGTTTCACAACCTCTTGTTGCTGGTGCGAGATCAGAAGGATCTACCCCCACACACCAGATTGGTGATGAATCTGGTGGCGAGGATGAGCACGTCGTTACAATTTGTTCGCCAAGCAGGCAATCGTTTCCCTAGCCTTCTTAAAATCTTTTCTTTGCAATGTAGGAAAGGCAGTTGAAATTGGTAGTCTTTGTGTCTTCTTGCTTGCATGGTAAAATAGAATAAGCGAGCGATAGATATAATAATGCGAGTTTGAGATGTGATATGATGAGCATTTTGGGATATTGCCATTACTAGCTGCTGGTCTTTGCTCAAAATTAGATTGAACTGTGAAATGTTCTGAATATAACTCAAACATGAACAGTTTAGTTTTAGTGTTGGCATTTGATGTGTATGTTTAATCTTTATCATTCAAATGTAGTATTTCATCTGTTCCCAAATTAAGTGGTACAGAGGATGCATCAAAATGAAGTTAACATTTTTCCACTGTTTCTTTTAGAGAATGAATATGTGAGTTTTTTATCGAAATAAATGTGAACCAAACATATTTAAATTTCATCAAACGTCTTTTACTTTTCAATACATTTTAAAAATTCTGTAAAGTTAGTGTGCAAATTTCATTTTGAAACGGATTGAATATTTGTTTACATATTTGGAATCAAAATAACTTAAATATATAGTTTTTAATCTTTAGTTAATTAAAAAAGTCACACTAAGCAATTGTCTACTTCAATAATTATTGTTTGTGTGGTCTATGCAAAATGTGGTGTTATGGCAACTCAAGAATGTGTGTTCAGATTTTACAAACTTTACATTAATTAAAAATCTTTCCAGTTTAACCTGTTTTGACAAATTTTTAGTATAAAATATGAAAAAAGTATATTTAGTTGAAATGTAAATTTAGTTTAATTAAATTCATTTTAAGTAGTTTGACATATCAAATTTTTCTAATATTTGTTTATAAAAATTATCCTCCATTCATTAATGGTTAAAGTGAGTAGATAACAACAAGAATAACTCAGTTGAATCCTAAGAGCATAGAGTTTGGGGAGCGTGTGTATGACGACGAGTTTACCCTTATCCGAAAGCAGAGAGACTCTTTCAAGAAAGTGAGTAGACAACGGGCTAAAAAACAAATTAGAAAGCTTTTTTACAAGGATGGAGTCAAAATTTTAAAAATTAGACTGGCCGGTTAGGATTGTGAATTGGTGAATCGGTAGCTGAATCGGTTCCATCCAACCCAAAGATTGGTAATAGTAGCGAACCTGCTAAAAGAGGTAAAAATTGCCCAGTTCGACGACGAACCAAGCTTTACCTCTATTAGGATTGGGACACTATATCCCTTGGGTATTAGGGTAGAGGGGGGCGCTTCCACCAAGTACTCAAACTTAACAATCCATAAAACCCAAAATACATTTCATTAAATAAAGAATAAAATAGATCTTATTATTTTTTAAAACAAAATAAATTTCAGGTGTTGGAGTATGATTTGTACACCAAAAAAATTCAAAAAAGAAAAGGTGTTGGAGACCTGGAGCCAGTGGGAACTGGGAACGAGTATCCAAAGTCCTTGCTATTCAAATAATCACACCGCCTCTAAAAAATTTGTCACATGGTATCTTTTGACCGTTAATTATGGAAAAAGTATATTCTATTATAATGTAAATTTAGTAAAATTGGATTTATTTTAAAACATAGTTTTGAAATATCAAATTTTTATAATTTTTAATTATTTTAAACTATATTTAATTCGTAGTAAAAAAATGTCAATAGTTTGACCAGAAAAATCAAATTATGATGTTAGAACTGATTAAATATATTGATACGTTTGAAAGATTTAACTTTGAATACGTTAGAATACAGAGTACATAAACTAAAAAAAACTTTGAAAGATTCAACTTTGAATCGTTTTAGCTAAGATTCAAACTCTTAATCATTGACATAATTGATTAATTGATACTAATACGGAGAGTACATAACACAAAAATATCTCATTTAAATATTTTTCGATAATATTGAGCTTGACTAAATAAAATCGCCGGCCTCTTATTCTATATAAATTTTAATATAATTTTTAAATACCCAGAGTAAGTAAATGTTTTCAATTTAATACCACTACTCAAATAAATAAAATTGAACTTAAGTCATTAATCATAATTGAAATGCATTCCACAATGGTAATGACTTAAAAATACTAATACGTTCTGTATTTATAAAAAAGAAATCACAAATGGAATGCATGATGTCATGGTAATACGGAGCATATAGCTTTGGTACATTTTCACACTACAAGGAGAAACACCGTTTACAAATCCCCAATAATTATCGTATCATTGCAAACGTATTATTTAAGCCAACAATTAAAATTGAAACAAATTACGGAGTAATTAATATTATGGCCTTGTTTGGAAACAACGTTTTCGATTAGCGTTACCGTTTTGGATAAAATTTGAATGGTATGGATTAATTCTGATAGCGCTAACGTTAAAGACTAATCTCGAATAGCCATCTCAAAACGCTAACGCTAATCTCTAACGCTGATCCTCTCATGAAGATAGTTTATCCAGGGCCAATGAAGTGGCAAAATTAGTAGTACAAAGTCCACCATCAATCACAAGATTAGTCCCACTAATATACTTGGACTCGTCGCTCCCAAGAAACACCGCCGCCGCCGCCACGTCCTCCGCCTCCAGCACCACCCCTTTCAAGTTCGCCATTTCGCACGCGAACCCCTCCACCGCTTCCTTATCCCCGCCGAATCTGTCGATCGTCAACGGCGTCGCCAGATAAGTAGGGGAAATGCAGTTCACTCTCACCCCGTGCTTCCCCATCTCCACCCCGAGGTTCTTCGCCAGTCCCACCACCGCGTGCTTCGACGCCATGTAGGCGTACGGGAGGTACCTGTTAGCGGATGTAATTAGGGTTTACTTAATGGGTTTACTCCCTCCGTCTATTAATTTACTTTTCACTTTCCTTTTTCGCCCCATCATTAATTTTTACTTGTTCTTTATATTTTGACAAGTTTATCTAAACTACCCTTAGATCAGATGTTGTATTTAATTTAATTTCAATTATCTTCAAATTTATTTTTCTTTAAATGGAAGTGAGCATTTGGACGGAGGGAGTAGCTATTATGAATAGTGGGTTTATGTTTGATGAAATCAAGTTTTACTACCGTAAAATTTCTACAATACCCGCTCGACACGGTGGCGGCACTGGCGGTGAACACGATGCTCCCCTTCTTCGCCGGGGCCATCACCCTCGCGGCGTGCTTCGCGCACCAGAACGCGCCGAAGACGTTCACGTCGAACACGCCGCGGAGGTCGTCCTCATCGATGTCGTGGACGGACACTCCGTGGTTCCCTCCGATACCGGCGTTGCTGAACATCACGTCTAACTTGCCGTGCATTGAGATGACAAAGTCCACTGCAGCCTGAACATCCGAATCGATGGTCACGTCGCAGTGAACGTAGCAGCAGATGGCAGGATCGCCCCCGCTTATCTCGGTGGAGATTGAATTGCCTAGTGTGTCTTGGATGTCAGCGATGATGACTTTTGCACCATGTTTAACGAATAGTCTCGCCGTGGTTTCGCCAATGCCACTAGCGCCGCCAGTGATCAATGCCACTTTACCATCTAGACGCCTGTGAATTGAATTATTTTTCGCAATAAAAATTTATAAACTTTGATCATAAATTAAAAAAAACATTGAGTCTTTTACAACAACACTGCGCGGCTCAAAGAAACATTTAAACTGCATGCCCTAATTTTATCTAAAGAGCTAGTAATGTCATAGTCACAAACAAACAGTTCGATTGCAGAATTCACAAACCTACCTTTATTTACATTTCAATATAAATAATATGCATTTAAGTAATGAAAGATATTTTAAAGTTAAAATCTACAAAAGATAAATTCGTGAACTATTTATTTGTGATTCTAGCCATTCCAAGATATCTAAAAACTACAAAGAGCTGAAACAAGCTAATTAAACTGCCTTAATTAATTATATTACCTGTTGGCGACTGGTGCAACCGAGGAAGCACTACTGCTGCTTGCCATAATCACACAAAGAAGTGTTTAATACGGAGTACTTTAATTATATAAAGAGACTATGGGGGTGGGTATAGTACTATACGTATTAATTGATTAACTAATTTATAGAAATGCTTTTTATTATTTGCCTCAATTAATATACCCTCCGTCCCTAAATAAACTTTTATTTTTGACTTTTTGAGGATTTAAAAGAGGAATATTTTTATGTTGACTTTCCAAAAATATTCTTGATGTGATGTGTAAAAATAAGAAGTTTATTTGGAGACAAAGAAAAAACGAAAAAGAAAATTTATTTATGGAAGGAGAGAGTATTTGTTTAATCTATAATTGATCCAAATGGAGTGCGATCAACCACTCTATAAGTATACATACAAATAGGGGTGGACACGGTACCGGTACAGTACCGGTACCGGAAACGGTACCGCCGGTTCCGGTACCGTTACCGCCGGCCAGTACGGTCCACCGGTTCCGGGAACCGGTACCGGTACCGCCCAATCCGGTACCGGTTCCGGTGCCCATTTTTCGGTACCGGCACCGGCGGTTCCGGTTCCGGTACCGTTATTAATTTTTTTTATTTTTATTTTTTATTTCATTCTTTCCTTTATCAATTTCATTTTTATATTTTTTTATTTCATCATTTCCTTTAACAATTACACATTTACAATTTTACATTTTAAAAATATAATAAAAAAACAACAATAAAAAAAATTAGGGGTGGCCAAAACGGTACCGGAACCGGTACCGGCCGGTACGGAACCGGAACCGTCTCGGAACCATACCGTGTCCACCCCTACATACAAACCCACAAGCTGACAAGCTAAGCTGAGCTAAGTTGGCCCCCCACTTAAGGTTGGGTAGTTCGCTGCTTCATTATTGACTTATTGTTCTAGTACTAAGGACAACTATTTTGATGTTCAAAAAAAGGAAAATTATTACCTTTAGTGTACATATATGTACGCACACATATACTCACACAGTCCCCAAATAGATTACAATTTTTTTTCTCTCTCCTCTCGATAATTTTTGTTTATTTACGCGATTTAGTTAAGTACTCCTTTCGCCCCAAAATAAACTTCCCCTTTCGTTTTTTCTTTATTTCCAAATAAACTTTTCTTTTCCCTTAAAAACCCCCTTTTACCTCATACTTTTTTATACCCTACCTATCACATCATACCTTTTTACTAATAATCTACATATCACATCTTACTTTTACACATCACATCAAGGGTATTTTTGGAAAGTCAACACAAAAATATCCATTCTTTAAAACTTCAAAAAGTCAAAAAGGGGAGCTTATTAAGGGATGGAGGGAGTATTTGATAATATAAAATATTTTTGTCACTTCTTGTTTTGTAAAAATTTTGACGCAGTTTTTTAATATGTAATTTTTATATCTTATTGATATACCAATTTGTAAATAAAATGATTTTAAAAAGTAGGAAATTTTACTTCGTAATCCGCAATTTGTAATCAAATTGGGAACGGAGGGAGTATATAGTTTTGATATTAAACTAAAATGTAAATTTAATATAATTAAATTATTCTGATACATAGTTTTGATATCTAAAGTTTTATGTTAATATGGTTTTGTTGGAATCGTCCTCCACCATTGGGGCGCCCTCCACCGCCATTACCTTGTCTTCCTCCTCGGTTGCCAGAGAACCGACCGCAACCCCAGCCTCGTCGACTATCCTCTCGGCTAGGGGCAACATAGATCAGGTCCGTATGCACAACGTTGGACGAACTCAGATGCAACTTCTGCTCAAGTTGAATATTAAGTTCTTCATATAGTAAGGAAGAGGAAACCTAGTTAAAGGTAAGATTGGAAATATTTGTTCAGATATTTTTCTTAATCGAGGCATGTTCGAAGGTCAAGCCACACAAAACACTGAGATTAATATCTTGTCCTAGAACCAGCTCACGTGCAAGGGCGTGGGCAGTAACAATATGGAGTGCAACATCAAGGTATACTTACATGGTAGATTGATCTTTTCTGAGGTTGAGAAGCAGTTCTTTGAGTTGAAAAATATGAATGCGGGATAAAAATTATACCATTGGTGTAGGAGACTCCAAATTTTAGCAGCGGTAGAGCAGAGATGGATCAGATTCCATATTTTCGGTGAGAGGAGGGCAAGGAGAGATGCAAGAAGCTGGGCATCAATGATAACCCATTGTTCGTACGCCGGATTTGCTTTCATAATCGGCCGTTTATAAGCAGTAGCCAGTGCTTTTTCTCTAGAATTAATGTCAGTGGTGGTTTTTCAGTACCATCAACATACCCAATTAAGCGATATGCCTCAAGTAGGACTAGGAAACAATAATAGAAGGTGACTAAAAATACTAAGTCTATCATAATTAGTATTGACTAATCAATTGCCTAACAAATACTACATTTGAAAATGAAAATTCCTTAAATTCAAAATCAATATTATATTGATTCAAAATGTATGGTTGTGTTCCGTTCTTCTAGTTTGATCTTATTGGATCTAATCTAATATAAATTTAATTTAAATTAAAATTATCTTATTAGATATAATCTAATATAAATTTAATTTAAATTAAAATAAAAAATATTATTATAGTAGTTATAATAATAATAGAAATATTAATAATTATAGTAGTAATAATAATATAAATAATAATAACAGTAATAGTAATAATAATAACTATAATAATAGTAATAGTAATAATATAGAAATAATAATAGTAATAATAATGACTATAAAAATAGTTATAATAATAACAAAAATTTTAATAATAATAATAATAGTAATAATAATAATAACAATAGTAATTATAATGATAATAGTAATAGCAATAATACTAGTAATAATAATAGAAATAGTAATTATAATAAAAAAAATAGTAATAATAGTAATAGTAATAATGATAATTTTGTTTAGATCTGATATCATTGAATGTGATCTAATTTAAATTGAATAAGAAATAATAATGAAAAATGCAAAAAAAAATTAAAAAAAAAAGTAAATAAAAATAAAATAAAAATGTATGGTGAAGAAGAGAGTGGTGTAGATTTTGGGTATATTCCTAGCATTGCTCAATAATAATATACAGAAAAAATAAAATAAATAAAATAGAACACAGCTGTATTGGCTTGGTCTCCACCTACCATAGTACCATGTAAGGTATACCGGAACCATTCTGATTTGAACTGTCCCTTTAACCCAAAGTCAGGCCTACCCAAACAGTGCGGGCCGACCCGTCACGAACCAGAAGTTTCTGCAACAGGAGATGTAAACTTCGTACCGCAGAGAGAGAGAGAGAGAGAGCCACGTCCGCACCTCGGTGACCCGGATTGGCACAAAGAATGTCGGCGTCGGAGTTACCTGACGAGATGTGGAGGCGAATTGTGGAAATCGGAATCGAGCTTTTGAATTTGACCTACAAAGACGTCTGCTGCCTCTCGATTACTTGCCGGCGTCTCAACAGAATCACCGGCGAGGATTCTCTCTGGAATACTCTGCTCTCCTCTGATTTTCCTCGGCCTCAGCACGGCGATCCTTCGTGGTCGTCTTTCACCTCCAGTAATAAGAAATCCCTCTACAAAATAAGGTTCAGATTACATTCTTTACATCGTTTATGTACTTACTGCTATATATGAATAATAAATTTAAGTAACGTGTTTTTAGAATGTATTTGTGTAACATTTCCAACTCTTCAACCACAAACTTGAGTTTGGTTGAGATGGGTTTTTAACAGGGGCCTGTTGACTGCCACTGCCACACAAGTTTCATAAAAACGAGTACATTTTATAATTGGTCTTTTACAACATGGTTTTCTATATTTAGTCCTATTATCAAATGTTACGTGGTCCTTTCTATAATTGGTCTTTTTGACCTTCTCTCATCTATCATCTTTGTGTTAAATTGATGGTTTAAAGTATAATTTCACATTGAGTTCTGTTGTCAGCTTGACAGACAACACAACTATAGGACTATGGCCGTGGACTTTGATTCTAAACAAGGAAAACATCTATAGATTATGCTTGCAGTAGACTGATTCTAGTTGACAAATGATGCATCATTATAAAATTGCACTTTTAGCCATCAATTTCACACTAACACCAATGTAAGGATCAATTATAGAATTTACTCTAAAAACAATGTTCAAATGCAAAGCTTGAGTAAAAAATGTTTGCATGTGTGGAGCATGTTAGTTTTTAGTATATGGAGTATAATTTTTTTTGGGCTTTTAACCAAAAGCTTTTTGGTTGTTTTGATTTCATAACACATATTCAATTAAAGTTGTATCCAATGCGTGATTCAGATTTGAAAGGGATAGGGAGCGGAGGCGCATGTCTTACAGAAGGATTGTTTTAAGAATTGAGAGTGATGTCGCTCAGCACCTGAGGAAGATTCAGAAGTTGGAACTTCAATGTACAGAGGAGACGAGGAAGATGAAAAATGCTGTTGTTGAGCTGACGAGTTTGCAGAGGGTGAGGTATGCGCATCATGTTTATATGTTTTTTTGTTGATCCTCAAAACACAAAAAAAGAACATTTTTTGTTGAAAGAACTGTGGAATTTGCTCATGTATGATTCATTGTTTTTATATAGCTATTGTTTTACTTGTTTCAGGCAAGCATCTGTTGCACTAACTATGTGGCAGCCAGATGTTATTCGAGGCAGACAAAGAGAGATGGTTGAGCAGTGCAATGTACCTGTTGATGTTCGAGTCAATTCAGTTGAAATGGAGCTCAAGATTTGCAGGCAACAAATTGAGGGACTTAAAAAGGCCCTGGTAAGTAGTAATTATCAGTTAATGTGAACTTTAATCTTGTGATTATTTTTGTTTTACGTAGCGCATCTTTAATCATGCTCTCCCATGTAAATGGAAAAAATCATATAAGAGAAATTGATTAGCACATGTGGCAGTTATAAGATTGGGGTTGAAATTTTTAAAAATGTGCATACTGCATAGCATTCCTCAACATATGAAAAGGGGATTGATTACTTGACCCTCCTCTCGATCTTTGCAGAGTGTTGAAAAGCGAAGGCTAGAAGCTGCAAAAGAAAAGTTGCATTCAGTGAAATATCACCCATTGCAAGAGAATAACCTGCCACCACTCAACCCACCCGGCACTCGACGCAAAAAGTTGAAATCTTCATAAAATGTAAACTTTACATTCTTCAGTTTTCATATCAGATAATTTCACACACATTTCTTCATTGCAAAACTTTTTAAGACACATTATTTGGCTATTTTTTCGGGAAGTGCAGCAAATTTAATGAACTAAATCGAAATGGCACATCAAACCTCCATTGCTTCTTACTTTTTATGATGTTTTGGGAAGTAAATGCAGCAATGCATCAAGGGTCTAACGGAAACAAACTTTCTAGGGTAAGACTGCTTACATCTTGACCCCAGCATTGATACTGTGATATCGTGATTAGTACACTATCCTTCTGTTGCTAGCTGGGAAAGGTTCAGAATAAACAAAATCTATTAACAATTGAAAAGGATAACTACTTTTTTCTTGGTTATGATTTAATGAATTCCAAACTACTTGCAGGTTATATAGAAGAATACAAGAATATGCAAAGGATATTGCTCGGCTCATGCATTGTTGTCCTTGCAGAATTGTGGAGATTGTACTACCAGCTTGTAAGTAGTTAAACATTTAAATATCTTTTAAGTTTATTTTAAAGGCTACTTAGGATTTTGATTAGTGTGTGAATTAGGCTACTATACCACCCTCCAGATGCCATAATTGAACCCAAAAGAGTTTCAAATTTGGTTGGTAAGACTCGACAATTCAAATTCAGTTTGAAACTATTTTAAATAGATTCAATTTCTTCAAGTCTTTTTTTCTTTGTCTTTTCAAAATACCTTTGCATCCTAAATTACAATGAATCAAAATAATCTTAAATAGGAAAATACTCAAAATATCAATATATAATTGAACTAACTAAACAAAACAGAATTACATACTCAAATAATTGGGATATCAACGAGTTCAAAATTCTTAAAACGTACACTATAATTAGGCTGCGTTCTATTCAACCTAATTTGTTTGCTTATTACTTATTCTTATTAGAATCAGATCTATTCAGATCAAAATTTAGATCCATCCAGATGAGATCCATTAAAACCATATAAGTTTAGAAAAATGTTTAAATTAATGTCAATGTTTTGTCTAGGATTAATAATACTCCTCCGTCCCAATTTAAGTTGCCAATTCAATGTTGACATGGTCAAACTTTATTCACTTTCTTTACCTATTTTCGTTACTTATTTGATAAAATAATATAGCCATGCCAATTGTTTTGTAGAACTTTTGATGTAGTTTGTAAATATATGATTTTTATTTTTTAAATGCACCCTAATTATCAAATAAAATGAATTAAAAATAACTTCAGTCAAACATCGTTATCCAAAACAGACAATTTAAATGGGACGGAGGGAGTATTAATTATACGATTAACTTATGTTACATGATTTAGTGTTACATAAAATTAAATTATGCTCCCTCCGTCTCAAATTAATAGTCCTCATTTCCATCTTGGGACGTCCCCAAAAAAAAGTTCTCTTCATTTTTGGAAAGGTTTTTGTGACTCATATTTTTTTCTCCCTCCTATGCAACACTTTCAATCATAGAATTTCACTTTTTTTAACTTTGTACCGAGCCAAATGTGGACTATGGAATTGGGACGGAGGGAGTAATTACTATTATAATGTTACATATGATTAATTAATTAATAATGTTACATATGATTAAATAAAACTTACTATTATTTTTATTATTTTAGTATATGATGATGATGATAATAATAATAATAATAATAATAATAACTATTTTAATAATAGTACTTTATGTGTTCCAAAAAAATTGCTCTTTTTATCTTCACGAAGACTAAGAAATTGTAGAAGTGACATTAAAAATTTGTTGGATAGTAAAAACTAAGTGGTTAAATTTTGTTTAGAAGAGAGCGAAGTGTTTTGGGCCACATAATTATATATTTTATAACATAACATCTATATTTTCCAACAATGGTTGTTGTCAACAATTTTCTTCATCTGTATCTTCATTCTTTAATGTATTATTCAATTGATTTTTTGTATTTCATAAAGCGAAGAAATATAGAATAAAAGTTATTGTTGTCTTATACATTGATAAATTAATTAATAATTATATGAATGATCATCATAATAATGTTAAGAGATAATAAAATTGTTGTAATATTTTTACCTTTAATTTGAATTAGATCAATTTAGATCAGACCAGACCTTAAAAAGCTCATATCAGAACCAATTAGATCAGATGAATGGAACACCACTAGTTATTCAGAAATCACTATTCCTAAATAAATACTTCTACGTTTGGATTTAGTTGTCCACTCTCTTGTTTTAGTTTGTGTGGATTTAGTTGTTCACTTTCAAAGTTCAATCATAGCCTGTTTGGGAACCGAGATTTGGATTCCAATATCAATTTCGGTCTAAATTACATGTTTGGGTGTCCAAAAGAAATGGATTTGGATTCAGGCCAATTTCCTCTAATTATCAACAATGCCCAATTACAAATCCATACTTCCTTTTTAATTTGCAATCCAAAAGTTCAAATTTAGAATTGAAATATAAGAACTCAAATAAATTCCTACTTTCCTTCCAAACACTACAAAAAGAAATTGTGATGAATTGTCTAAAATATTTTATTTACAAGTGACAAACTAATTTGAAGGAATCGTTTGACATTTTAAACTCATTTATTGCTGGAGGAAGTGCAATAAATATATATACCCAATATATAATCTTACATGGAGGTCCATGGTGTTAGCGCAGAAGGGGTATTTTGGTAGGAAATAAGGGTGAAAATGGTTCTAGTCACGTAACTTTTTACGCTTTCCTAGATATTTATTATCTACCTTTATTATAGTAACCGGGTTTCAGAATAGAATATTTGGGGTATAAAGGTGCACAGTGTATTTATATACTGCAGATCATATTAAAAAGTTGAAGAAGTTCACCGTGTCCAACGTGGATATGGCTTTGATAGCCAAATATGGAGACCATAAGGAATCGTTCCTTTGGAAACTTCTTATCATACGAAGAGGCATGAGCAGTTTTATTATACCACATGCACATTCAACTTTGAGAATAATTGAATCATGCGTTTTTGGAATTTTATACCACATGCACATTCAACTTCAAAAATAATTTGAATCATGCCTTTTTGGAAGTTTATACCACATGCACATCCATCTTCAAAAATAATTTGAATCATGCCTTTTTTAAAAGCGATACGTGGCTCAGGCATATCTACAACATTCCTTATTCAAATAAATATTTTCAAAGAATACATACACCCATCCCTTAATATTAGATTAATATAACTCTGCAACACACAATTAAAATAATATTAGTGAGGAACATGTTGAACACTTGATCCAAATTATCTAATAAATTTTCAACATGTGGGACCCCCGGACCCGTGGGACTCAAGGTGGTTCCGACCTTGCCACCCCTCTGGGATGTTCAAGAATGGCATGTACAACAGTTGCATTTTATACTGCCACGACTAGCATCTTTACATGTTTGGTATGTAAAATCTGACATGCAAATTATGGAACATGACAAAAAAGAAAACAGCAGTTCATCGAGTTATTCCTTTGCTAGAACTTCCAACAAGGACGACATTTGACGTAAAACTTCCCTTGTCTTTCCTGGCATTATAGCATAGATATATATAGTATTGAGATTCGTGTGCTGTGGGATGCTTTTCTTTTGATGAAAAATTGCCATCATAATTTGGTGTGTTTTCAATACTTGGAGGGTGATTTCATGTCTTAATTAAGAGCATATTCCTTTTTTTTATTCATGTATTTACAGTTCCGTGTGGTTCTGAAGCCCCAAACTGCCAAGATGACGAGGAGCAGTGAGGTCGGCCTTGTGCCCTTGGAGAACTTGCCGATGAACCTTCTCGCTCTCCACATGAAATGTTCAAGCATTCTAAAATCGTGCCAGTACTCTATGCGATTGAGTGGGCTTTGATTTAAGATTTGGCTCATTTGTTGAGATGGTGAACAAAATTTGGAACCTAAAACCAATGAATATGAGGTTCACAGTAGGGGCAGCTTTCATTGCAGCATGCTACAACATTTGGAAAGGTAGAAATGGTGTGGTTCATAATGGAAATTTGGCCTCTGCGAAAATGGTGTGGTTACAAGAATTCACAAATTGTTCACATATGAGATGCATTCTGCAAAAAACACCAATTCCAAATCCCCATCAATTATCATTAGCAAGTACATGTTATCATCATGAACAAAACAACCAAAACTCCATCAATTGTCATTGCAAACGTATTTTCTTAAAAAGAAAAAAACTGTGTACCCAAAAATTGTACCTCAAAAGTTTATATTTACATTTTGTTGGCTTACATTGACACAAAATATAAATGTGATTGCAAAGTTTGATGCTGAAATCTGATTACCGTTCGCATCCGTATTCGTTTAAATGGAAAAAATTCGCATCCGTTTTAAACGGATATTATTAGTATCCGATTAAGCACATCCGATTGATAAACGGATGCGGATTTGGTAATTACTGATCTGATCCGTTTAAAATCCGATCCGTGTATACATCCGTTTATATATCCGCATATCAAATTATCCGATCCCTTATACCAAATATAGGTAATAAAAAATTATCCGTAGTTAAAAAAAATTATCCGTAGTTTAGACTAATTAATATTTTTATGTATAAAGTATACTCCTAGTTTTCTAATTTCTACTCAGCCCACTAAGCCTAGGCCCAAAACCACTATTGAGACTTGGGGTATTGATTAAACCTAAATAATACCTAATACGGAGCACTATTTTTCTGGAACTAGCATCCAGCGACCAACTGACCTAGCGGCGTCGTCTTCCTCAGCTATTTTCCGAATCTAGCGACCATTTCAGCGAGTCTGCGGCTTCAGCTCAGCACCTCATGATGTGATTTAACTGATTTTACTTTTTGGTTACAAATTTAGATTTCATGTTTTACAATTTTTGTTGGTTGTTGCAAGGTCAAATCTTTTTGTTTGATTTGTAGATTCAGAAACTTGGTTAAGGATGTAAAGCTTTTAGTTGTGCTTGGTTGATTTTAGATTTTTAGATTTTCATATTACATATTCGGATATTCGGATGGATGTTTTTTTCGGATACGGATACGGTTTTTCCTTGTGAATCGGATGTTTTATCGAATCTAGAAACAGATTTGGATTCGGATTTTTTACTAGTCGGATGCTCCATCGGATTCGGATAACGGTTTTGCTAATCGGATTCGGATACAGTTTTAATACATCCGAAACGGATATTATCCGTTTACACCCCTAGATGCTGACATTATATTGACACAAAATATAAGTGTAAACTTTTGTATATATTTTGGGATACAATCTTTAGGTTACAAGTAAATTTATTCCAAAAAAAAAATATCATTGCAAACATATTATTTAAGCCAACAAGTAAAATTGAAATAAATTACAGACTAGTACTATAAATTAAGTCTGAATTGTCACCACTCCTGGACTCTAATTGGAGTCAATTGGCAACACCAATTCAATTAGAGCAATTATGGTGTTCCGTTTGTAAAATTAATAGTTTCTACTCCTAACACCTTCCTAAACACTCTACCCAGCCCTTTTGTCCCCACCCGTATTCCCTTAATCACTGTTTAGGTAGAATTAATTTTGCTTAAACATAATTTATGAAGAAGATAATTTATCCAAGGCCAATGAAGTGGCAAAATTAGTAGTACAAAGTCCACCATCAATCACAAGATTAGTCCCACTAATATACTTGGACTCGTCACTCCCAAGAAACACAGCCGCCGCCACGTCCACCGCCTCCAGCACCACTCCTTTCAAGTTCGCCATTTCACACGCGAACCCCTCCACCGCTTCCTTATCCCCGCCGAATTTGTCGATTGTCAACGGCGTCGCCAGATAGGTAGGGGAAATGCAGTTCACTCTCACCCCATACTTCCCCATCTCCACCCCCAGGTTCTTCGCCAGTCCCACCACCGCGTGCTTTGATGCCATATAGGCATACGGGAAGTACCCGCTCGACACGGTGGCAGCACTGGCGGTGAACACGATGCTCCCCTTCTTCGCCGGGGCCATCACCCTTGCGGCGTGTTTCGCGCACCAGAACGCGCCGAAGACATTCACGTCGAACACGCCGCGGAGGTCGTCCCGATCGATGTCGTGGACGGACACTTTGTACTTCCCCCCGATGCCAGCATTGCTGAACATCACGTCCAGCTTGCCGTGCATTGAGATGGCAAGGTCCACTGCAGCCTGAACATCGGAATCGATAGTCACGTCGCAGTGGACGTAGTAGCAGATGGCGGGGTCGCCCCCGCTTATTTCGGTTGAGATTGAATTGCCTAGTGTGTCTTGGATGTCAGCGATGATGACTCTTGCACCATGTTTAGCGAATAGTCTCGCCGTGGTTTCGCCAATGCCACTGGCGCCGCCGGTGATCAATGCCACTTTACCATCTAGCCGCCTATAAATTGAATAAGAGTTCATCTTTAAAGTTTTGTTTCAACTTTCAACATACATTCAATAGATTGTGTTTTGATATTTTTGCAATTAGAATTGACAAACTTTAACCATCAATTAATAAAATTGATATAAGATATTGATGTAAAAATAATTGTTTAAGATTTATCTTATATGAAGTAAAATATTTTTTAAAAATTGATTTATAGTGCTGAGCAACAGTCTTCGGTTTTCGGTTTGAAACAAAAAAAATCGATTTTTTTAACATGGTTGAAAACCGACCGAACCAAACCGATCATAAACTAAAACCGACCGAACCGAATAAATACAGACCGTATAATTTAATTTAACTTGTGATGGTAATGAAAATCATAAATTAAAACACTATTGATAATTGGCTAAAAGTCAAACAAACTCTTAGAAGGCCAAACACTCTCTAGAAAGTTTCATACTTTGGGTCCTTAACAACGACAACAATCATCAACAACTGCTCCATCAAACAAACACTTACAAGGTGTTTGGGAGTGATTAACTTGTGGATAAAGTGATTTCCACAAAAGCTGAAAACAAAAGCACCTCATACCTGCTTCTCCGAAACGATGTTCTATATACAAAATAGTGGTTGTGAAAAGCAGAAACTGACATGCCAAACAGAGTAAAATCACTTCCACTCAAAGCAGAAGCTAAATTATTAAAAGCAGCGCAATGCCAAACACCCTCTTAAACTGCCCTAAGGCCAAATTATATCTAAAAACTACGGACAGCTTAAACAAATTATACATACCCTCCGTCCCTGAGTATTTTATTCAGTTTTGACTTTTTTTCGGTCAAAATTGGTAAATTTTGACCTTAAATTAATTAAAAATGGTATTAGATATTAATACAAAAATAATTTTATTAGATTTATTATATCAAATATTTTCAAAATATTATTTTATTTAATTAATATACAATATATATTTTATTTAATTATAGACTAAAACTTGAAAATAATTGATCTAAAAATCAGATAAATACTCAGCACGGTCGTAGTATTATATTACCTGTTTGCGACTGGTGCAACCGAGCTTTCCATAACCACTCAAAGAAGTTTTAATTAATTATAAATACAAACTGCTACGACGAGCTGATGAGTGTTTAATCCGTAATTGATTCAAATGGAGGGCGATCCAGCGCTCTATAAATATACATACAAACCACAAGCTAAGTGCGTGGGCCGCCGACCGAAATTGACTGAAAGTTAAGTTATTCGCTGCTTCATTATTGTAGTAAGGAAAATTGTTGAGGTGCCCAATAATTCTAGCCCAACTAAAACTCTTACCCCGTCTCTGTTGATAACTCATATTTCCTCCCTCTCAACAAATAAGTCCCGTTTCGAAAAATTTGTGTTCCTTAAAGTCTGTACCATTTTTATTAAAAAATCACTTTTACCCCTTACTTTTTTATACCTTACCTATTACATCATACTTTTTTTCTAATAATCTATCCATCACATCTTACTTTTACTATTTTTAGAAAGTCAACACAAAAATTATTCCTCCTTATTTTACCACTTTAGTCAAACCGTCTCAATCTTTATGAGACAGAGAGAGGATTAGTTTGTATATTTTCTTCAATTATTTGATACGATAAAATATTCTTGTCATATCTTATTTTGTTAAATTTTTTATATTGTTTTGAACAAGATAATTTATAGTTTTTTAAAATATACTCCCTCTATCCACCATAGATCTTCTCAGATACTATTCACAGGATCAAACTTAATTCACTTTGTTTGTTTATTTTTACTACTCATTTCATAAAATAATATAGTGTTGTCACCTCTAGTTTTGTAGAACTTTTCATGTAGTTTATTACTATGTAGGTATTATATTAAAATTTTACCCCTATACTCAAATAAATTGAATTGAAAATAAAGTCGGTCAAACCTCGTAACGCGCAATGAGAAGATCTTAGGTGGACGGAAGGAGTACCAATTTGTGAATAAAGTAAATTTTAAAAGAGAGCAATGTTATATTCACAAACAGAATTGTCACAAACTTACTATTTATGGTTTAAGTTTTCATTTTGAATTTTTGTACACTATTTAATTTTTTTTATAAAAGTTCACATATAGTAAGTTTGTGAAGTTTGTGACCATTGTGTTTGTGAACCAAGCATTTCTCTTTAAAAGATGGGTTTTTGCGCGTTCTTCGAAAATGAAAAATTTATTATTAGACCGGTGAGTATAGTATTTGTCCACAAAAGAAAAACATGGACATGAATGTCTGTTTTGGCATATATTTTTTCCATCCCATAAAACATGTTTTGTTTTTGCTTTTGAGAGGGAAACTGTAAAAGTTTGAGCAAAGTGAAATGATAAACTGAGACGAGTAGGACTCAAGAAATATCAAAATAGGTAGGCGTAAAAGATAGTTGAGATATGTTCGTTTAGATTAATGAAAAGTAAAGGTAATATTGTCAATTTAGTTCAAGGTGAAATGTTTTATGTGATAACTAAGAGGTGAAAGTTGAAAAATTCTACGGGACAGAGGTAGTATACATACAATCGGGTCAACTGGATCAGTTTTAGATTGTATTTTTTTATTTGGATATCTATCGGATATATGTTATAATCGGTTCGGTTAGGATTTGATTCAGTTCTATACAATTTTTGGTTTTGGTTCTGTTTCGAGTCCTTTCAGATATAGTTCAGATATAAATCAGCTCGGATATATTTCAGTTCAAATAAAATTTGGATTGGATATAATTCGGTTTCGGATCTAGTTCAGTTTGAATATATTTCGGTTCCTGATATGTTTCATTTCAGATATATATTTCGATCGAATATATTTTGGATATATATTATTCCATAATTAAAATTTAATTATTCATGTTTCTTTTTTATGTTTTATTACATTTATTATTCTATGATGAATTCAACACCTCATATTATATTACTCCCTCCGTCCTTTTAAATATGAGATGTTTTGATTTTGAAGAGATTTAAGTGGAGTGTATTTTGGTATTGAATTTCCAAAAATATCCTTTGATGTGATAGATAAAAGTAGGATTTAATGGGTAGATTATTAGTAAAAAAGTATGATATGATAGGTATAGTATGATATGAAAAATTAAGGAGTAGAAGTGACTTTTAAAGAAGAAAGGTTTTCAGGGACAGAGGGGATATATATTTTCTAATTATGCTATCTCCACCCTAAATAATCTTCCTTTTTTGACTTTTCAATCATATTTTACAAATTTGGACTAAAAATTACTCCGTATAAAATAATACCCCCTCCGTCCTTGAAAATGTTTCCTCTTTCAACCCAACTCCATCATTCCCAACTACACGCCTCTAACACTCCACCTTTTTATTTCACCGATTTCCACTGCCTTCTTCGTCTCTCTCCAGATCTAAATTCCTCCTCTTCTCTAGATCTAAATTTCAGAGACATCTTCCATCTCTCTAGATCTAAACATATTCTTCTAGATTTAATCTTCTCTTTCGAAGAATAGATCTAAAGGTCTCCTACTTCAGATCTATTCTTCTTTTCCCTAATCCGATGTTTTTTTGAGATCATTCGATGCCCAATTTTCAATTATTGCATGATAGTGATGATGATGCATGTCCTAGATATGGAATTCCTCCTCCATCAAAAGATGAGATTAAGAGGACTGAGTTAAATCATTGGGGATTTAATGGAGGAGATTCTGATTCCTCTGAAACTGACCTAACATGGAGCTTCTGCAAAAACAATATCAAGGTGGTGGTCTTATTCTGACCCTGAGCGGAGCTATGAAGAAGAAGGGAACGAAGAGGCCAGCGTCGTCCCTTGGATGGATCCTAAAAGTTGGAACAGTCTACTTGAGGTCGGCGTAGTCCCTTTGAGGGACCTAAGAAGCTAGAACAGGCCTCTTGAAGTTGGAACAGACCTCTTGAGGCTAGCTCCGTCTCTTGGATGGATCGTGGAAGTTGGAACTGTCCACTTGAGGTCGGCTTCGTCCCTTTGAGTAACCTATGGAGCTGGAATAGACCTCTTGAGACTAGAGTCGTCCTTTAGATAGATCCTAGAAGTTGGAATGGTCTACTTGAGGCCGACGCGATCTCTTTAAAAGACCTATGAAGCTTGAACGGAACTCTTGAAGCTGACATGGACCGTTGGAGTGAGGGAGTTCGCCAGAAATTGTCCACTGGAAGAGTCGCTAGACTGCTGCTATGTGGTTTTTGGAGGATGAACATTTTTTTTCTTTCTTTTTTCTTGCTTACTTTTGTACTTCTCTCCTCTTCATTTTTTCTCACCACAATCCTTCTCCTTTTCTCTTTTTTATCTCTCCATAATCCTTCTCCTCTCTCTCTATTTTTTTCCTTTCTCTCCCACATTGTTTTAACTAAAACTTTTAGGAACCCAAGTAAAAGAACTTTTGTTTCGATGCCCCGGATGGCGCCAGTGATGGAAACCGCCTTTTCGGAGCTACGACCCGACGAACTCGGTACTGGATTGGCACCACACCGAATAGCGGAATCCAGTAAATAAATAAATAAAGAAAAAAAAAAGAATTTGTACATGGAAATCCAAATCGTGAGAAAACCATGAGCCTTTCTAGGCGGTGCCATGCCAAGAGAAGGAACTTTTATTAATCTCGAGAGAATTTACATATACATCATTGTAGAAGCTTGGAGCTATTAATGCATCTCCAAGCTTAAAGAAGAAGTATTATCTAGATATAGAGTTTGAGAACATAGGAATTGGCCTCCCTTTGGGTGTAGGTTGCCCTTTCTCTCTTTTCTTCCGTCGCCTTCTTTTAAAGGGAGGAGAATAATTGATGGAGACAAAAGAGGCAAGCCTTCATGTGAGTGAGTGAGTCCCATGCAACTTCCGTGTGAAGCTGTCTCATATGGCCCACAATATATTCTAATTTCCTATCAAATACTTCCGTCTGTATCTCTCTAGTTCTATCTCAATTAATTTATCTGATTATATCTTGGGCCAGACTGAATTGGAATTACTTGTACTGTTCAAATAATATTGGATTAGGTAAAATTCTTAATCCATCCACAGTAAACCTTTTCTACCAGAGTTTCCTATCCACTTGCACTAAACATACATAGGTAGACCTTCCTGCATTTGAGTCTTAGATATACTCCATATGTTTCGAACTGTTTTGGTTGAGATGTTGAATTCTGCAGCAACTGCTTTCATACAACCCCGCTGAAGTTCTCCATTTGTACGGAATTGAAGTAACTTGTCAATTACTCTTTTACATTTACGATTACGTTCTACACCACCATTTTCTACAAACTAGTTATTTTTTGTTCTAATGCAGGAGTCTCATGTTTGGAGAAAGGAACCTAGACTAGTGGTGGCAGGTTCGTACTGCATGGAAATGAAGAATATAGAGACAAAGAAGATGCTCTTGACAAAGATGGTGATGATAGTGGGGAGTCCATGAGTAAAAATGTGGTCTGTTTCTTGTCCCCAAATTGTCAAAAAACAGAAGTTCTCACTTGCAGGTAATGGTTTTTTTTCGTCGTTCCACGGTTTGAGACAGAAAGGAGATAGAATTTTTATCTGAATTTTTATCATCACCATCTTTGTCAAGAGCATCTTCTTTGTCTCTATATTCTTCATTTCCATGTAGTACGAACCTGCCACCACTAGTCTAGGTTCCTTTTTTAATAAAAAAAGATTAAAAACCCAAAAATATAAGAGTACCACTCTTTTTGTTATTTAAATAGGAGTTCACATTGTCACTGTCGTGCTTCACAGGCACTGGAGCTCTATTGGTAGTCACTGGAGTGCTGATGTCGGTCCTCAATTTATGTAAATAGTATTAAAACATAGTAATTTTTTCAATGTAGTATCATATGTTTTTATTTTCTAATGTAATATAATTGTTCAATGTCCACTGATCATTGTTCAAATAAATGTCTAGTGCCACTGGACATTGTTCAAACTAAATGTTCACCTTCACTAGATATTGTTCTCACTACTAGATATTGTTCAAATACTATTTGACGAATAAAGAAGTTCAGGTACTATATTGAAAAATGACATATATTTTACTACTCCGTACTATTTAGTGTAAATTTTACTAATTAATAATAATGATAAAAATAGTAGTAATAATAGGGAATTGATATCTTCCCTTCAAGACTTTATAATGGCGCTCCACCTTTCTAATTCTTTTAAGGAAATGACAAGATTAGCCTTATACATCCATATACTATGGTTCTAATTCTACCCCTTTGTGCCAATCTCTCCCACTCTCATTTTTATTTTTTAATGACAAATTATTTTCAAAACAAAAATTGTTTAAGAACATATATAATACTCCCTCCGTCCCTATTTAATGATCATATTTTGACTTTACACGAAGTTTAAGAAAAGTAAAATTGTATCATTGAAAGTGATGTAGAGTAAAGAAAAAAGGACTTTCAAAAAAGAGAAAGATTAATTTGGGATAACCAAAAAAATAAAGATTAATTTAGAATGAAGGAACTACTATATTACATAAAAGCCAAAAAATAAAAAATCCATAAAAACCAACAAATTAAGGTGAAATTCATCCAAAAAACAAATTGTAATATTACATAATTATATTTCTTTGAAATTACATTCGTCTGTATTGAATTTTAGTATCTTAATTTCTTTATTATATTTTACAAATCTATTTATTTATTTTATTTACGATTACACAATAAAAAATTAGACCAGCATGGAATATATGTAGATCTTATTTTTCTCTCTTATCTTTATACCTGATTTGGAGGAAAGTAACTAAAATAGGTATAGGGAAATTAGAAAAATAAGATCTTGATGCATTCATTTAAAATAGATTCTAACATAATTTTAAAATTTATGGCGGTCTCGCTCAATGAACATTTTTTGTATTTTTAATTTAAAGAGGTGGAACACCCACCCCGGACGCCCCACACACACCCAGTCCTATATGATAGTGAGGGGGTAAACTATGGTATAACCTTAATTTGGTCTTTTGAGAGGCCGCCTTGTGCCCGGTGCGCACAAGGAACTATTACAAAGAATAAAACTCTGAACTGCCGCTGCTAGAATTCGACCTTAGGATCTATGGGCTTGACACTATTAAAATTTTTATAGTGTGTAGTAGTGACAACAATAAATTTAGTTGTATACGGATTCTTAACAACGAACTCTATTATGAGTTTTCATTCATAGGATATAATCCTTATGTGATCAGTAATCGGTTCCTCGTTTTAGGATTTGTTTTATGCACTCCAAGTGTATTTAGTTCAAGAAAGTTGATGTATTATGTTTTCTCTGTTATTTCTTTTCAGAAGTCTCTGGTCAATTTTAAATATCGTTTGGCTTTGATTTAAACTTATTTGACTTCTTATTCAAAAAAAATTTAGCGTAAATGTAAATAAATTATTTTAAAAAAAGAAATTGATTCGTAAAGTTGAAACTAAAATTCAATACTCCATCGGTCTTAAACAAATTATCCTCTTTCTAAAAAGTATAAAATATTGTTTCTGTTAAATTAATTTTATTTACAAAGGGGTAAGGAAATAAAAAATAAAAATTATATGTTTAAAAAATATATAAAAAGTTTTAAAAAACATGTAGTGACAAGAGTATTTTATTTTATAAAATGGATCATGAAAAAATATATGCAAATAAAAGTTATGAAAAGTCACAAATACTTCACAGTAACTAGGCCAATGTTTGAGGAGAGAAAACAAGTTAATGTCATTTCAAAGAAATTTAATTATGCAATATTACTTTTTTTAAAATATGAATTCTACCGTAATTAAATTTTTGGGGGTTATGGAATTTTTTATTTCTTGGGTTTTATGCAATATTATTTTCCCTTTACACTTACTTTTATTTTGAAAGAAATTTGACATTTAGGAAATACTCTATAATTTTTTTTGGTGAGAGAGAGATTGGCTTATGTGGGTAGAACCATAAGATGGGGTAAAAGGGTAATGTTGTCATTTGCTTTAAGGGTTTGGAAAAGTGGAGCGCCACTATAACTCTAGGAGCGCCGATATCAATTCCCGTAATAATAATCATCATCATCATGACGTGACACCGATAAGAGAATGACGAAGATGATGAATTATTGAAAATGTCAAAAAATAGAAAATGTTTTAGTACATTTTCTGTTTTTATTCTTAGGCACTTTATTAAAGGCACTTTTATTAAAATTAGATTTACACAATTTACAACAAAAAGAATAAACTTTATCAACATCTTTTGAGAAAACTAACCATTTTCAGGTCACTATTCTCTCCAATACTAATTGAACTTTAGAGATTGAAACATTTACCGTTGATTTGGTTGGTAGATCAACAAGCAAAACCTCCAAAAAGTTGATGAAGTGTCGTCGTCCCTGCTGTTTTGCCACTTGGATTCTTGAGCTTTGTGCGTGCGTAATACGTACATCTATTATTTTTTTCTTTTGGATTTTCGATGTGGAATACTTCTTCGCGCTCTACAATCAGATTATTTTGAATCTAAGCAATTGACCACTTGCAAATAGATTCTCATCTCTGTTAAATGAATATTTGAGCGGAAACACCTAAAGGATCCTGAGTCACTAGGTATGACTTTCAGACGATCAATCGAGTTAAATGGGTCATAGGCCGTTAGTTGTGTATTCCATAGGGACAACTCGACTAAAGACTATCGCTGCTAAGAAAGAACATCTAGACAAACAATTTAATAAATGAGGTAGACTAAAACCCAACTCTAATATTGTAATTGAACTTAGGAGGGAATAAGGGCCACTAGACTCGCTATAAGACATTTGGTTGAACCATATCAAAAAAAATTGGTCCATGACTTTGTCAATTTTTGATGTGAGATACTTCTTCACAATATGAATGAAGGATTTTAGTTTTGCTTAAAATTGTATACATGGGAATACTCATAACACTATACAAAAAATATCTGGTCTAGTTTAAATTTAGGAGGTCTAATGCAGTTGTCTAGTCCGATGTACCTTAGGACCGACCCTGCTAGTCAAATCCGATTAAGAATAGTAAGCCCGATTTTGTTAACTTACCCCAACTTCCTCCATCCCGTAAGGTAGTTACCAAAGAGAAAATCAGGAGTTTAAGAAGAATAATAGTGACCTAAGTAAAAGAAAATATTGGTTAAAAAGTGATGAAAAGTAAAAGGAAAAAAGGGGATGGTTTAAATTTGGAATGAGGTATTGGTTTAATGTCTTACAAAGTGAAAGGTGAAAAAAAGGTGTAAAAAGAAGAATTTTAGTTTGCTTTCGTGTAGAGACCGCTAGTTTCTCAGTGCTTGACCCCTGATGCTACGCAGCAACTTCTTGTGTCTCTTATTAGCAGTAATATTTATGACCCCTTATTAGCAGTCTTCTTCAGGGAAACATTTTAGCAGTTTCACTTCACTTCCTTCACTTGCTTGTTCCTTTTGGCAGTAGTAGACATTTTTCATTTTTAAGGATTAAAAAAACACATATTTAGCAAATATAATTTTTGGGTTTCTGAGATAGTGCCCACTGCCATGGGGCTCTCAAGCTCTCTAAGGTTTTGGGGCGACAAACGGTCGGGTGGGCGTGACTCTCTTAGGGAGCACCTAGTGAAGAACGGCAAAGGTGGAGAAGTGAAATCACTCTGCGGGGATAAGAAAACAGTCACTCCTTATAGCAGTGCAACCATTCTTGGTAGAATTTCTTACTCATGGATGACTCCACTGGTATCTCTTGGCTACAAAAGACCATTGAACCTTGAAGACATTCCTCAACTTTCTGGCTTGGACAGCATCAGAAACATATTCCCAGTTTTCGCGAAAAAGCTGAAGGAACTTTCCCCCGGTAGGAATTCGGTTACAACATGTAATCTTGTCAAGGCTTTGGTTTTCACTGTGTGGAAGGACATCCTGTTGTCTGCTATATATTTACTCATCCATAAACTGCCCTCTTACGTCGAAGCCTACCTCATCAATGACTTGGTTCAATTTCTGAATGGAAGTGGAGAGAGCAAGAAAGAAGGTTACTTCTTGGTCATCGCATTCACCATCGCGAAGCTTTTTGAGTCCCTAGGGAAAACACAGTATTACTTCAAAGTGCAGCAGGGTGGGTCCAGGCTACGGGCTGCCATGGTTGCGATGATCTATAGTAAGTGCATGAGACTGTCATGCCAGTCGAAGCAGAGGCATACATGTGGAGAGATGATCAACTTCATGAGTGTAGATGCAGAGAGGATCATTGGGTTCGGTTGGTACTTGCACGATCCGTGGATTGTGCTTGTACAAGTGGTTCTTGCATTTGTGATCCTCTACAAAAATCTTGGCCTTGCTTCGGTCGTGCCTCTCCTTTCGACTGTGGTCGTGATGCTAGCAAACATCCCTTTGGGGACATTGCTTGAGAGATACCAGAAAAAACTTATGGCATCCAAGGATGATCGCATGAAGGCAACCTCAGAAGTGTTGCGCAACATGCGTGTCCTCAAACTTCAAGCTTGGGAGATGAAGTTTTTGTCCAAAATCAATTCCCTGAGAGACACTGAGGTAAGATGGTTAAGAAGATATGAATATGTTTCGGCTCTGTCAGTTTTTGTCCATTGGGTTATTCCCACATTTGTGTCTGTTGCTACATTTGGTGCCGCTGTTCTTATGGGGACGCAGCTTGAACCCGGAAAGGTTCTCTCTTCTCTTGCCACATTTGCGCTGCTGAAGGAGCCTATTTATAGGATCCCAGATGCAATTTCAAAGACCGTTCAGGTTAAAGTCTCCCTTGATCGGATCGCATCATTCCTTTCGCTTGAGGACATGGAACACGACATTGTAGAGAAGCATCAAAAGAGCTGTTCTTCTGATGTGGCCATTGACATTGTCGATGGGAGCTTCACATGGGATGAATCCTCTCCCACTCCACTTCTAAAAGGCATAAATTTGAGAGTGCGCCACGGCATGAAAGTTGCCATTTGTGGTCCTGTTTCTTCGGGAAAGTCGAGTTTGTTGTCTTGCGTTTTGGGAGAAATGTCCAAAATTTCAGGAAGTGTTAAGATCTTTGGGACCATTGCCTATGTTCCTCAGTCAGCGTGGATATAGAGTGGGACAATAGAGGAAAACATATTGTTTGGGATGAAGATGGATAGGGAGAAGTATGACAGAATTGTTGAGGCATGTTGCTTAAAGAAAGACTTGGAAGATATCCCATTCGGTGACCAAACATTCATAGGCGAGCGAGGCATCAATTTGAGCGGTGGACAGAAGCAAAGGGTGCAAATTGCTCGCGCTTTGTACCAAGATGTTGACATCTATCTCTTCGACGATCCATTCAGCGCAGTCGATGCTCATACTGGAACTCATCTCTTCAATGTTAGTGCAACTTTTGTATCATATGCCTGTCTCATATTTTTATCAACAACTACTTCTGCTAAAACTTTCTTTTCATTTATTCGCAGGAGTGTATACTTGGGCTTCTGGAATCAAAAGCTGTTGTTTATGTTACTCATCAAGTGGAGTTCTTACCTGCCGCGGATTTGATCTTGGTAAGCTACCCACCATTGACTTGTTTCATATTCAGCAGACCCTAGTTTTGCGGGATTTTGCTGGGGGTGTTGTTGTAATTATTAACTATATCAGGTTATGAAAGGGGGGAAGATTTCAAAGGAAGGGGACTACACAAGCATCCTCAAATCAGAAACTGAGTTTATGGAACTTGTGGGTGCTCACAAGGAAGCACTGTCATCTATTGATTCATTTGAAGAAAGAGTGCTAACTGTGAAAAATGATAACAGTACTACTATGCAAAACGAAGAGAGTGGTAAAGATGATTGCAGCAGCGCGAGACTGAAGGGCCAACTTATCCAAGACGAAGAGAGAAAGAAAGGCGGCGTGGGTTTCTCAGTTTACTGGACATATATGACATTGGCTTTTGGTGGGATTCTTGTGCCCTTCATATGTCTGGGGCAAGTACTTTTCCAAGCACTTCAGGTGGGAGGAAACTATTGGATGACTTGGGCTACACCTAGGGTTGGAAGCTCTACTACTCTGCTTTCTGTGTATGCGGTTTTTGCGATTGCGGGTTCTTTCTGCATCCTTGCCAGAACCTTGTTGCTAGTCACCGCCGGTTTCAATACTGCCACAATGCTCTTTCACAAAATGCATTTGTGCATTTTTCGTGCTCCCATGTCCTTCTTTGATGCCACACCCAGCGGGCGTATTTTAAACCGAGTAAGCCAACATCATATTTTCAAGCCAATATGGATAACAGATCATATTTTCTTGATTTAATGGTTCCATTGTCACCATGACAACAGGCTTCTACGGATCAGAGTGTTGTTGATTTGGACATCCCCTTTCAATTAGGGGCATTCCTCAACGCCATAGTCGAGCTTTTGGGTGTCATAGTTGTAATGTCACTAGTTACATGGCAGGTCTTTGCTATCTTCATTCCTGTGATTGCCATATGCATCTATTTTCAGGTCTCCGCCATATGCTTCCTTCTCTGATTTTCCCATTTGGGCTTCTATCATTTGCAGCATGATATTAAATTAACCATGTCATCTGTTTTAACTGCAGCAACATTACTTGCCTTCATCGCGCGAATTAGCACGGTTGGCTGGTGTTTCTAAGGCCCCAGTCATACAGCATTTCGCAGAAACTATTTCTGGGTTAACTACAATCCGGGCATTTGGCCAGGAGCCTGATTTTTTTAACACAATTATGAAGTTAGTGGACGATCATTCTCGGCCCAAGTTTCACGGCTTTGGTGCTACTCAGTGGATGTGTGTTCGCTTGATTACGTTCTCTCTCTTAACTTTCATTTCAACTTTGGTATTCTTGGTCTCAGTCCCACCGGGGACAATCGACGCAAGTGAGTGGTGTTTATCATCATATGTATATGCACATAAATATAATAAAATAAAATGATTCTTACTGATTCATCCCTTCCAACAATCTGCAGCATTTGCTGTACTAGCAGTGACATATGGGCTTAATTTGAACTCCCAGCTGGTATTTGTTGCCGTGTATTTTTACATGACAGAGAATCTTATGGTGTCAGTTGAGAGAATGACCCAATACACTTCGGTCTCTAGTGAATCCCCTCTTGTTAGTGAATCATGCAGGCCAGACATGAATTGGCCACCAAATGGGGAAATTGATATCAGGAATCTCAAGGTAGCTAATTGATATCAGATTGATCTTTCGCGATAAAACCCAAGTTTTAATAGCAACGGTTTTGGGTTTTTTTATAGGTCCGATATGCACCACAGTTGCCTCTTGTTTTACGGGGCATCACGTGCACTTTGTTAGGAGGAAAGAAAACTGGAGTGGTTGGGAGGACAGGGAGTGGGAAATCCACACTTATACAGACTCTCTTTCGCATTGTCGAACCTGTCGAAGGAGAGATCTTCATAGATGGCATCAATGTATCATCAATTGGCCTGCACGACTTGCGGGCAAAACTCAGTATAATCCCTCAAGATCCAACCATGTTTGCAGGAAGTATACGAGCAAATCTAGATCCACTTGAAGAGTATACAGATGGGCAGATCTGGGAGGTACCCGGCTTCCCATTAGTTTCTTTGTTAGAGTTAATTTTTTTCTAGTTTTAAGTTTTCGCATTGTCATTAAAATGCCTGGAAAGGCTTAGTGAGCTGTTTGCATTCCCATTTTAAGGCCCTTGATAAGTGTCAACTGGGAGACGAAGTACGCAAGAAGGAAGCCGGGCTTGATTCTCCGGTGGCTGAGAATGGTGAGAATTGGAGTGTGGGCCAGAGGCAACTGGTGTGTCTGGGGCGGGTGCTACTGAAGAAGAGCAAAATTCTTGTGCTGGACGAGGCGACAGCATCTGTTGACACCGCGACAGACAATTTGATCCAACAAACAGTGAGGCAAAACTTCTCTTCTTCCACTGTGATCACAATTGCACATAGGATGACCTCAGTGCTTGCCAGTGACATGGTGCTGCTCTTAAATAATGGTTTGTTTCACTTTCTGCTCATCTTCATCAACTCGTGATCGTTTAGTCAATAAGGTTATATCATGTCAGCGATAAGCCCAAGCTTGTGGTTGTAGGCCCAGAATAGATTTTACATTCTAATAACTATAATGCACTGCAATTTTCTGTCCTCTTTTGCTGCAGGGTTCATTGCTGAATATGACACTTCACACAATTTGCTGCATGACAAAACATCACTGTTCTCCAAGCTTGTTGATGAGTATACCATAAGGTCGAATTCTGCTTTTCATTAATGCAGCACCTTGGTAGGCATTTGAACTTAGCTTTAGTACCTAAGCATGGGCAAAAAACCGAACTTATATAGTACCCTATCCGATTGTAATGGTACCGAATCGTTTGTTGTGTTTCTAAATGGGATTTATTTTTTTCATCCCGAGCCATTATCAAACGAGACGGGACCGAGTTACAAACACTTAAAATCGATTATCATGAAGTGAACCAGTTAAAGTTAACTACAAAGTATTTCAAGTATTTTTTGTGTACTTCAATTTACCTTGTACAAAGCACTTCGTATTGTGTTTTCCCAATCTTAATATTCTTACATTTCTATTATCATTATCATTCGAAAATCATTAATAGTCCAATATCGCATGAATTGGAAAAAAGTCATTATTTTTAAGTGTGGATTCGTTATCTTTTACTCCATATTTTTTTCATCTATGATCTTTTAAGTTTGTACGCATTTTCTTTTTGAACAAAGTTGTACTCTTTTTAAATAAAGATTTGTGTTTTCATTCCAATATTTAAACTACGGGTGTTTGATTCTTAAATAAAGAGCTGTGTTTTCATTTTAGCATGGTAAAGTATTGTACCGTTCCATTTTAAAATATAATGGTGGTGAATGATTTTGATGTTCATCTCGTACTGATACCGTACCATTTCACTAAGTGCAGTCTGTGATAGATTTGAATAGCATCATGAATTGTCACGTGCCGTGCCTACCCTTATCAGTGCCCAGGAAAGCAATGTAATACTAGTCTCTATTGTGCTTTTGATTATAATTGGGGGAAAAATAAGTCAATACTCCTAAAAGTTTGAGGTTTTACCTATGATGGCTATATACTGGGATTGGCCTGATATGATTATGAGTTACCTAGCTCATAGAAACATACATTTGTAGCCAGCAACACAGGCCTAAGGGGCATGGGGCGGGTTGACGCCCACAGTAAGATGGGCGGTTGGAACCCAAATCAAAAGTGCGGTAATATCTTCATGGTTCTTGGGGAATAACCATGACTAGGTGTTGACACCTTATCAGGTTGCAACAAATTAGTACTTAAGGACTAGCTCAATACACTTAAGTAAAAGGTAGTATGGAGGTAAGCAGGGTCTTTTCCTCAAGGAATAGTGGATGTCAATTCGACTATTACATTTTGATGTTTCATTCTGAATTGTGTTTAATTACATTTTCCGTCTCATATACTATCAAGCTCTAGCAATTAAGGATTTAAGGTGCTTCTTACATTTCTGTTTTTCTAATTCAATTTTGGAGCAATGTTTTTGGAATCGCTTGGTCACCGTTTATGGTTTTAATGGCATTTCTCTAAAAGTTCTGTTTCTCCTTCATGCCTATCTCTCGTTATTTCGCTGTTGTTTAGTTTTTTTATTCTTTGGTCCGGAGGATTTGGATTTCAATCTCAGCTCATGCTCGATCTTCCCGCTGTGTTTTTGTGGTTCAATTTTAGATTTTTATGGTTTTAATGGCATTTCTCTTTCTCCTTCATGTCTTTCTCTTTTTATTTCGCTGCTGTTAATTATTTTTCATGCTCTTACTGCTCTATTTTTGTGGTTCAATTTTAGATTATTTTTTTTTTGAAATTGCACGGTGGTACACTAGTATCTAAGGTTCCACTTTGGAGGTTGAGGTTAAGGACTTGATAATATATGAAATCGAAACTGGAAAATGTAATTAAGCACAATCCGGAAGGAAGTTGTGATATTTCATGAATCAACTGAAGCAAAAATCATACTAAAACTAACAGAATTCATGGGAACAAGCTTTAATGGTAACAATCAGGGATCGGACACAAGGAGCTTTTGTTTATACATAAAAAAACAGTCACTTTAATTTGGCTTGGTTTATTTTGTGAAATCATGGCAACGGATCATCAGCAGAGATAAGTGAATCATAGAAATGGCCTAGGTTAACAAGTAAACTTGTCCACAAATCCTTTTGAAGTAGTTAAATCAAAAAATAACCACCGCTGACTTTTTCCTTCTCTACCACTCAATAAATTAAACCAAACCAAACAAAATACTACCTCCCTCCCAACGTTTTTGACAAATATGACTTTTTTAGTAAAATTGAATGAAGTTTGAACTTTAATTATATAAAAGCTATAGCGTATATTTGTATAAAAATGATTTCATTAGATATATCTTGCAAAGAATATTCAAAGTCTATTTCATTGTATTAATATGCAATACAAATTTAGAGTAATTGATTATTAAGGTTCATCCAGCTTGACTCAAAAAAGTCAAACTGGACGAATATATTGGGACAGAGGGAGTACTAGTATACAAAGTTCATTGAGGAATATAAGGATTAGATGGACCTTGCCTGACCCATAACTGCTTGAACCTGACTGGAATTGTCTTCACCCCTAGTGTCACCCTTCCCTTTATGCTCTTGATTCCCCCCCCCCCCTCTGGTCACATGCCATCTCCTGGTCAAAGCAGCCTTCATTTTTTGATGTTGTTGTGGCGTGTCTTTGCCTTATTTGAGCGTGTAGTTGGGTTTGGTGTGTCTCATACTCTCTTATACTGCACCAAGCATGTGTTGTGGAACTGCAACATTTGAGGATCTAAACAAATTTATAAGTTCAAAACAGTTACTACTTTCACAAACCAAGAAGTAAAGCAGACATCGGCCTTGAGATGGAGGATAAAACTTACATTTATGTGTGGATAGCTTGCTATGAAGAATGAATTTGATGAACAAGAAGATAATTGAGCAGGATAGATCTAGCTCGGTTTATTGCAGTGAAGCACAGACATAAGTGCACCTCAAGACAAGTAAGCTGCTCTAAAAAACTCTTATTCCTTCTTAGCAGTTGCTTCACAACCTCCTGAATGATGTATTTGTCCATGCTTCTCTCAAGCACAAACCTAACATCGCGCTTGAAGTCCTCCACTGAATTATGCAAAGGATCAACCAGGCAATCAAGGGTTTCAAGGTAATTATCGAGGACAAAAGTTTCCCTCGAGACATCATCAAGCTGCACTAGATGGGCTGATTCTTTTTTAGTTATCTTCAAAGGAATAAAAGCAGGACAAATAGGGGTCGCAAACAGAATCACGAGGACAGGAGTAGCTATCAGAATAACACAAGTGACCACTCCGACAACAGCTACAAGAAAACATATTGCAGTGGCATGACGGGAAAGGTGAATCTTTGAGCGCGAGTTTTCAATCCAAAGGTCAATCTGTTTCTTCAGCTGGAAGTAGCAATCGTGCATATCTTTAAAAATGCTGTGAGAATCATCACTGGGGAATGGATTTTCAAGCTCGTCAAATTGACGAAAAACTTCTAATGCTGTATCACATCGGTCTTTACAAAGAGAGTAATTGGCCACCACGTCAATGTCTAATGAAAAGGTATCCGCAAGCCTTTGGAGTGGGTCACATAAATGGCGAGCATGGTGCATGCATTCTGAAAGAAGCAGGCATTTCGCGGCAGTTTCCTCGCTCTGGTAAAAGAAGTCAGAGACAACTTGGGTGAAGGTGTCAACTCTAATTTCAGAAAGTGCTTCTTTTACATCATAATGGCTTGGTTTGAGTAGACCCTCTATTTGCAAGGGCTCCTCAAAATTAACTTCGGTTACGTCAACATTCTGTTCAGAAGGGGTGTCCAGATGAATCTTGGTCCATATCTCACCAAAGGAGGGGGTTTGAACAGCAAGAGTATAAGCACATGTAAGGTTGACCGTAGGAGATGTTTGGACACTTGATTGTGGAATGACTTCCATATAATACAATCCTGTGTTGTTATGAAATGTGAGTAAGACGGTATGTTTTTTAGAGATGAAGATTAGCACAAATTGGAAGTTAGGGGGATTTGATCATGAAACTTACCTCCCAAACTGGAAAACGCTCAATACAACAAAGATTTAAGCTTCGCCCATAATACTGGTACACATAGAACACAAATGTGTTCCAAATAGAGACAGTCCTTAACCTCAACCTCCAAAGTGGAACAATTCAATGAGAAATCCAAAAATGACAACAAATATTCAATCTTTCTGGAACAGTTGCTAGAGAAGAACCAGAAGTAACAGTAAAGATCAACAATCCAGTATCAGAACATCAAACTGTCAGTAACAGAGGAACACAAATCAGCTAATATCGACTAGAAATCACTTAATTAAAAAGAAAAGGATTCAAGTCAAACGCCAACAATTTTAGTTTCATATTTCCATACACTACATCAATCAAAATATGATGATAAAAAAGATTTAACAATTCGATCAAAATATCCTAATAGAGAAGATTAAACAATTCAATCCATATATCGTGATGGAGAATATTTAACTATTCAGTAAGACTTGAGATTAAAAAAAACAAACCCAAATGCCAACAAATCTAATCTATGTGTCATGAGTGAAGCTGAAATTACAAAGAAAGAAAGAAAGGGAAGAGAAAAGAAAGCAAAGGTCTGGGCAATTTTCTTTTTTATTACTATAATCCATTTTCTTCATTCTCTACCCTTAGTTTCAAATCCTTCGTCAATTTCAATATTTTTCACAAGCAATTGCAAGTAAAACTTTTGGAGTATGTAATCGAGTAAAGAAATTACTATTAAAATTTTAAAGAAGACTTGGAAATCAGAAGAATAGAATAAATCTAAGAGATGCATAGAAGAACATGGTAATTTAATCCTGGAGGAGCTGCCGGAGACGGGATTTGACGTAGTCCTTGCGGGCCTTGGCGCGGGCTTGTTGAGGGGCTATGTTGGCGTAGGAAAGGTAAGCGCCGGCGCAAATGAAGGAGACTCCGACGACGACACCGCAGAGAGTGAGAGAGAGCTGCTTAGGCGTTGGTGGATATGACCATAGCACCATTCTTCTGCGAGGGAGTTGGGTGGGCTGTACGGGGAAAGAGAAGAACAATGGTGGGAGGAGAGAGGCGATGACTGAGGAGTATTCAACTAGGGTGGGAGTGGCAAAATTGACCCTACCATAATCTGAAATGAGGAACAGAACCCTACCCAAAAAATTGAAGAACCGAAATAGAATCGAACATCCGAAATGATTCGAATTGAATTGAAACTGAACTATATTTAGACCCAAATGTGATTTAACCCGAACCGGTTAAACCCGAAACTGATTAGACCCAAAATTAATCAAATTCATTAATGTTTCATTTATCAGATGAACTTGAAGAAAAAAGAATTGCCGATATATTTTTACATATGTTGATGTGTTTCTAAAAAAACATATTTAAATTATGAGTGTAAACTGTGGAACTACTTTCATGTACGAATCTTTTAATTCGTATTATATTACATACTTAATTTAAACTGTTTTTGTGTTTTATCACCTTCAAACTTAAAGTTTGACCAACATTGTCTCTTCAAAAATATTAGCAAAAATATTAAAAATAATACATTTAAAGTGTTTTCAATGCCAATTATTGGATAATAAGTTTTACTATGTATATTTTAATTCATTATATATTTTTATTTATAGTTATTCAAATATTTGACACATAAAGTAAAATGGATAGTTAACTAAAAAGGTCGCGCTGAAACCTTTTCAGATGAAAAACTTTAGAATGTAAACAATTAGTCAATTATGTAAGTATTATTTTTTATGTACGTCCGTGTTAAATAATAAAATAACTACGGAGTATGTCATAAATTGACTAAATTTATTATGTGATATTGTTGATTTATTAATACATTTAAAATTTATTCTTAAAAACTATGACATGTTTTTTAAGAATAAAATTTATTCTTAAAAACTATGACATGTTTATTAATACATGTTTATTCTTAAAAACTATGACATGTTTATTCTTAAAGTATGTCTTAAATGACTAAATTTTTCTATAATAAGAATATATTTTTATAAAATACGGCTTACTATGCAGATTAAACGTTTGACATATGGATACTGATACATACGCGTTTCAAACATTTTCTATTCTTAAAATAAGTCTTATTATATGTTTATATATATTAACATATATATGTCAAATCTATACATGTTTATTGAATGATAGTCATCAATTTATATTTAGATAAATAAACAAAATGCAAAAATCTTCTAAATGAAATATTTACAACATAAATTTTCAAATTAAAATCTCTATTTATTTGAAAAAATGTACTCCCTTCATTTGGAAAAAACATCCTTATTTGACTTCAGCATACGTAGTTTAAGAAAGTGTTGAAAAAAAACTTTATAGTTTGAATTTGTTTTGCAAAAAAAGAAGAGCTATGAGTCACACATCCTTTTTAAAAGTCAATGAAGTTTTTTAGACAGACAAAAAAGAATGAGTGAAGTCTTTTTTCGAACTTGACAAAAAATATAAAGTTTTTTGTAGAATGTAGAAAGTAAGTATTTTCAAATTGATTAATTTAGTAATTAACATTTAGAATTAATTGAGTAAAAGAAACTTTATGGATCTAATGGTAAATATAATACTCCATATTAATGTTGTGACAATAATTAAGTATGGTATATGTGGCTAATATAAAGAATTATTAATCATATTTTATTAAAATGTTTGTTGGAACAAATTAAAATAAATATTTATTGATGTACTAAAAAATTTATGATTTAATATTTAATCAATATATTATTTAGTCAATATCACATTAAACGGTTTACTCTGCAGATTAAACAAAGTTCTATAATTGACTAAATTTATTATGTGATATGTCTTTAATTGAATAAATTCTATTCTTATATTATTTTATAAAATTCTGTTCTTATTTTAAGAATAGAAAAATTTGTGTAGATATGAAACATTTCAAAATATTATTTTATCCAATTAATATACAATATGTATTTTATTTAATTATAAATCAAAGCTTGAAAATAGTTTACCGAAAAGAATCAAAATTGGATAAATACTCAGGGATGGATGTAGTGATTTTTAAGTAAATTTTTTGTTTTTATATTTTGATTAGATTATTTATAAAACTATCTTCGCCATACATGAGTATTTTCAAATGACTTATATTTCATTCAATTCATTTTATTTCAACGAAAGAATATATAGTTTATAAGCAGCTTATAAGTTAAAAATTATTTATCATCATGAAAAAATACTCCCTTAATGTTCTAATATGACATTTAGGCTCCCACCAATCTGCGATGAAAATTTAATTTACCTCTTTTCAGTTGTCATCTAGTCAGATTTGAGGGAGCCTTCGGGAATGAGGCTCATATTTTTTATAGATCAACTCAGCCCCTCTCATCCCTCATCCATCTTGCCTCTTGATAAAAATGTTATTTTATTAATAAACATGTCATAGTTTCTTAAAAACTATGACATGTTCTTTTCGAGAAAAACTATGACATGTTCTTTTCGTTTTAGTTTGAAAGATTACTATTTTCTGCATATAAAATACTAGTCTCTTGGTCCGAGTATATTTATCCACTTTGACTTTTTTGAATCAAACAAGATGAACTTTGAACTTCAATTAAACAAAAATTGCAACGTATATTAACATAAACTTGATTTTTGTAGATTTTATCTTATTGAGAATTTTCAAAATTTTATTTGAATATATTAATATTCAATGTAAATTGAGAATAACTAAGCTCAAAATTTATCCAATTTGACTAAAAAAAATCAAGCTAGACAAATATACCAGGACAGAGGTAGTAGAATCTAGAAGCTTGAGTCGATAAAGAATGTGGTTGGTTAAAGCTCTATTACCCCCCTCCCACCAAGGATGGGGTGCATCCTTTTTTTCATTCAAAACATCTAAGTAGAGAAGAAAAGTTTCCACATCATAAATTAGTTGCTGCAATTTATAGCAAATAAAACATCATAAATTAGTTTTTTCAATTTGTAGCAAATAAAACAGAAATGGCTTTGTAAGGCTCCTTTCTACTTGTTTAAGAACAACATTACCTCAATGCCTTAAAAGCTACCGCTCATTGTAGGCTAAGGTGGGTCTGATCTACGTAGAGCGACCTCTATGTTTAAAGCATATGACTCATGATGAACATTGAAAGTTACATTGACTAACTGCAACTTTACTATGAGAGAACATTTTACAGTTTAAAGAGTCATCTTGCTTTATTCAATCATGCCTCAAAGCCAAAAAAACAGTGAATCTTCTCCGGCTTTACCTCAGAATAGAGTATGTAATAAACTCTTTTGACGTGAATTGGAATGACTGAAGAGGAATGGGATTCCTGCAAAAAAAACACAGTTCAGTACTTCACTCCGAGAAAGGTTGGGTTCATGATCGTCAACAATTGGAGATGAATGACAAAAAAATGAGCATAAAATTGTTGAGACGCACGGTCGAGGCCCATAGACTTTAATCTGGCGGATATGTGTGTCCCTCCCGTTTAGATGGTTCGACAAAATTGCCACTTGCAACATGAAAGCATTCACAAAGGTTTCCCTATACATGGAAAAATGTATAGTCAACTGGTCTATATAATGATCTCACAATAACGAGGCAAGGAAGTGTTTGTCTCATATGAAGCTCAAGAATTTATGCAAATGTGAACTGCGTGGAATTCACACAAAAATGTAAATCAGTATTCTGAAAGCATATATTGCTCACCGAGGATCATTCCCTGACAACGATATATACACCCAGCCACTTGGTTTGACAAGTTCCACTGATTTTATCTCCTGTCATAGTAAACGAAAAGCTCATAATGCATCCAGAAAAAAAAAACATTCGGTAATCACTAGATATGTGTATGTATTTGTGATCTTTTTGTGTCTATTTATATTGGTACCTTTAAGTTGTGGAAGCCATCACCAGCTCGTATTGAAATTTTATTAGGCGTGTAGCTCTCATCAAGCTTAAAATCTACATATAGAACTACCAACTGGAAGAAAGTCATAGCTGGAAAGAGTGATAATAACAATAGCACACCCAGTAAAATCTCACGGAGGGGTCCGGGGAGGGTATGTATATGCATACCTTACCCCTACTTAGAAAGTAGGGAGGCTGCTTCCAAGAGATACCAAAAGGGTAAATGCGACTAGTTTTCTGAAAATGTGAATGAAAATAACAAAATAGATATCTAGCTATAGAAGTATAAAGTCACGTACTTGGAGCTTCACTTTCTTCTGAAATTGTATATTTACCAAATGTGGCTGTGTCCCGTCAGACCTAAACCCCATGTGAAGTGGGAAACACACACACGCACACAAACAGAGCGTTGAACAATCTACATAAAATAATTTTACACACCAAATGAGGAAGTAAAGAAATTATGAGTTCCCTAACTGCCAATAAGTATCAAGGTTGCCATCACGAAGGAAAGCAACACCATTTCCAGCTTTCGAAGAGCTGACACTCCAGGCAGCCATCTTAGCCATCTCACGAAGGTTATCATCAACCAGCAGTTGTTGGCTACCTCCAGTAAGCTTCCCTTCTTCCTCTCCTTCTGATGAATCACCCATTGAGTTCACTTTACTACACTGCACTTGTTATAGAAAATATCAGAGGGGATCTAATTGGGGTGATAAATTTTAATCAATTGAAGCAGAACTCTGGATTTTTTATAGCATAACATAATAAAAATAAGAGTAAATTCCATAATTGGTCCTTTATAACATGGGGGTTTCCATATTTAGTCCTTTATTATCAAATATTACCCCCGTAGTCCTTTTTTTAAGGGTACTTTTTCACAAATGGTCCTTTTTTTGATCTTCTGCCGTGTTGGTGTTAATTTAAAAACTAAAAGTATAATTTGACATCAACATTATGTCTAGTGACGTGTTTTGATATTGGTTAAGCGGATAACACAAAAATAATGACTATGATTGTGGGCTAGGATTCTGACGAAAGATCACATTTGTAGACTATCGTTGTCGTAAAAAGCGACTGTAATTCACAAACGACGCAAACAGAATAGCCTTTGGAATTGTGTATGACTAAAAAGATATATTATCATTGTGAAATTACACTTTTAGCCCTCAAATTAATACCAACATGATAGAAGATCAAAAAAGGACTATTTGTGGAAAGATACCCACAAAAGAAGGACCACTGAGATAATATTTGATAATAGAGGACTAAATAGGGAAACCCCCTGTTATAAATGACCAATTATAGAATTTACTCTAAAAATAATAAGAGCAAGTCGTAAGAATCAAATTAAAACAAAAGAAACACAATAGGGCAACACTGTCAATGGCTATGGAATTCATTTTCCACACCAAGATCAAAACTAGAAAGTTTTAACATCTGTTGGGGCTGAACCCCAGTAATGTGCGCCAAGGCCTTCTGGTACTGCAAGATAAGTGCCATGACAAGGGGGTTTCAAGGTTTGGTTTGACTTCAAAATTTGAATGACATTTTTTGTGCAAAAGGTGCTATCAATTACCAATGTTGGAGAGAAAATCAGAACGGCAGAACCAGTATGACTGATGGGAACACGGGTCAGCCAGAAAGGCAGAAGTGTTTGGAAGATAAAGTATGATTATTGTGTGAGGGTCAGCCAGAAAGGCAGAAGTGTTTGGAAGATAAAGTATGATTATTGTGTGAGGTTGGATAAGAATCAAACCCTAGCATATAGAATAATGCACTGACTATTAAACTATGCCACACACACAATATATTGGGGGTTTCCTCATATCCTAGTCTAAATTTATACTGCGATGTTAAAACTTCCTACTTTTGATCTTGGTACGGAAAATGATTTCTAAACACTCATCCATGAATAATTTACGGTTATTACTCCAATAAATTATGAAATATGCATATGAAATAAAGAAAAAAAATGTTTGAATTCAATAAAAAATTATACTCCGGGTAGTATATTATTATGTATTAGAACTATCAAATTGGTATATAAAGAATTGATACAAACAAGGTACATGAAAGCAGATTTTGGTTTCAACTTTCAACTAAACAAATCATTCGGACGTTTGAAGAGGTTACACCCATGATATCCATGAATGCCATGAATGGAGTCCAAGGATTTCAAACCATGAGAATCAATGGTCTACTTGGGAAAAGGACATTACACATGCTCATTGATTCTGGAAGTAGTCACAACTTCCTAGATAAACAATTAGCAAGACAGTTGGGATGTGAATTGGAACACATCATTGCTCAGCCAGTCACCATAGCTGATGGAAGCTCTATTCAGTGCAAATTTATTTGTAGAAAATTCAGATGGCAACTCCGGGGAGGTGAATTTATTTCTGATATGTTGTTAAATCCTCTAGGGGGATGTGATCTAGTCCTTGGGGTGCAATGGCTATCCTCCCTTGGAAACATCAAATGGAATTTCAAGACTCTCAGAACAGAGTTTACATGAGCAGGAAAGAACTACGTCCTTAAAGGAAATACAACCAAAGAAAGTGCAAACCATGCTTGAGGGGCAACTCTCTCCAAATTAGCAACTACTCGACGTCACATCAGCATTCACCATTTCACTCGCTTCACAAATGTAGTGTCTCACATCCACTACAATTTATAACAGTTACACTTTTACTTTTTTTATAAAAAAAATTACCTGTTTCTATTCAAATTAAATTTTATCTTTTATAAAATAATAATACAAAGTAATAAAAATTATTTATTATGTTTCAAGTTTGTTCTTTTTTTATTTTGTTATTAATATTTTTTCTCGTTTTGGATTATTAAATGAATTTAAAAAACCACACAAAATAATTAAATTAAAAAGGCATGAAGTACATGAAAGAAAAAAACAATACAAGTAACACTAATTTAATTTTTTATTTTTCCAAACATGCTCTACTAAATTTGCTTTAAATTGTTGTGTGTTTCTCTATTACGGATTTGGGCGCGTCTTGCAATTCATTCATCATTGGTGACCTCTCAAACATTGTCATCACCCGGCTCGTAGTATGCACATATAACTAATCCCCTTATCTTCTAAATAACTAATCCCCATATCTTCTAAAATCATATTGTGTAAAATAATACACATGTACATGGTGTTTGATATTTTTTCTCCCACATTCTTGCGGGATTAGCGATAATATGCAAAAATTTCTTTAGAACACTGAAAGCGTGCTCGATATCCTTTCTAGTAGACTCTTGAGCTTTCTTAAAAAACACATGTTTCACATGTCCTTGCATGGACAAGTAAACAAATCCACCATTGTAGCCCAGTCCGGCTAGATACCATCAGTCAGATTAAAACCAAAATTATACTCCATATCGTTGGTAATAAAAGATGACGTAGCTGCAACTCCATTAACGATATCATCAAAAATCGGAGACTCATCAACAACATTTTAATCATTACTTAATCCGCAAACTCCAAAGAAAGCATGTCGTATCCAAAGATCATTTGACGCTGCTGCATCAAACATCAACGTCAGGTGACTATGGTCACCCCATTGAGATTGCCCCGCCAAGCCGTTGGGCAAGTCGCCCACTCTCAGTGCATACAATGTTGGGCGAATTGAGTGTGGAGGCTCGACCAAGAAGGGCAGCCGGCCCTAGTCTTGGTTCGACCCATATGGCAGTAAATTAGGTTTTTCATTTAGCTGACCCTAATTCTCTATGTGGGCTTGGACCTTACTTGGGGATTAAATTTTTAACCCTAGTTTAGTCTTCATAAATAGAGACCTCGGTACTTGTAATTCGGTGAGCACCTGAATAATAAAAACCCTAGTTGCAAAGTGGATTAGGTCCGCCGACCGAACCACTATAAATCTTGTGTTCCATTTTCTCCATTTTGATTTTTGTTTTGTGTGTGTTCTTGTTTGGTTGTGGTTTGCTATTCATAGATACCCCAACATACAGTCAATGCTACTAAGCATTCTTGGAAATCCATTCACCTCCTCGTGAACATGTATATTTTTTTAATGTCATTCCATAACGGTTTTCACAAAAAAATTCACCATATAGTGCCATGACACCTTTATATATTGGAAACTAATATTTTACACTATATATATATATATATATATATATATATATATTAGGAAAATTTTAATTTTTATAAGTTAAATATAAGAATTCATACCTTTGCAAAATTCGTAAAGTCTATCTTGTGTTTTTTCGAACATCTTCAGATATTCATTCCGAGAATCAGAACTTGTATCGTAAGCCATTGATGAACTGCATGTGTACACTATTCCAAATGTGTAAACCTAAGTTAACCTCTTCCATCGTAACGTTGTCGGAAGTACTCAAATTGTGCTTGCAAATCTTCAGCTATTCTACAAAAAAGAGTCGGCTCATCCGGAATCGTCTCGGGAATGCCAAGTCATTGTACGTTGGCTCAACACAAAAATAATCTTCTAAGAGACACTGGTTTGCGGCCACACGATCTCGATTGATTTGAATTCGTCTTCTAACGATCCTTCTGTTTTCGTTGGCTCAGACTCACAATAATACATGCTGAGGTTTGCACTGCTTCTATAAATAGTTCGTCCTCACTAGACGAATTGGAAGAAAGAGTGTGCAAAAATCATCTTTTAAGTAGAATTTTAAGGATATGTGAAATAGAGAAATAAGGTTCCGTTTGCAAACCAGGAAAATAACCTTTGGAAAATGACTTCAGGAAAATGAGTTAATTTCCTGTTGTTTTGTTAAAAATCTGAAATTTTGTTATTAAATCATATATTCTATAAAATTTCAGATTTTCTTTTATGGCTCACCTCCACCCTCTTCTTTAACAATAATACTTTTTTCCAATTTGCTATATTTTTTTCGAAATTACAAGAATAAAATTCAAAGAAAATTCTTAATTTTTTCCCCGGTTCTACAATTCAAGATTATGCAAAAAAAAACATAGATTATCAAATTATCAATATAAAATTCCTAATTTTTCTAAAAAAAAACAACAAAAAAAGGAGAAGAGAGAAGAGAGAACTAGAAAGATGAGAACTAGAGAGAAGAGAGAGAAGAACCAAAGGGAAAGAGAGAAGAGATGAGCCATACCTGGAACGAAGAAGGGAGAAATCGAGGAGGAGATTGACTGACTGAAGAGGACCGGATGAGGAAGTTGGGCGAAGAGGCGGAAGAGGGACGGGACGACAGTGTGAATCAGCTAATTAGAATGTATTTTCCATTGACCAAAACTTATTCTCCATTTGACTTCCATTTTCCTCATGATATTTTCCATTGACCAAAACTTATTTTCCATTTGACTTCCATTTTCCTCATGATACCAAACACTGAAAATATGAAAATGACTTTGAAAAGTTATTTTCTTGGTTTTCAAACGGACCCTAAGTGAATGAGTTTAAAAATATATTTCCTCCGTTCATTAAAATAATTCCTATTTTAACTTTTACGGACTTTCTAATTAAATCATTAGTGTCGAAAATATAAAAGAAAGACAAATAACTTAAATAGCTTGTTATATCAAATTATCAATGCAAAATGAATGAATTATATTACAATGACATTATTTTGGAAAGTTTACTTAAATAGTACTAAAACATAATAATTTTTCCAATATAATATCATATGTCCACCGCCACTGGACATTGTTCAAACTAAAAGTACATCATGACTGGACATTGTTCTCGCAACTAGACATTATTCAAATATTATTTAGAGAATAAAAAATTTAGGTACTACATTGAGAAATAATATATGTTTTAGTACTATTTAGTGCAAATTTTACCTTTTTAATATATTAGTCATCCTCCTATATACAATGCTAAGAGAAGCTTATGAATAGTGTTCCCGCCCAAAATATTGTGCTAGGTCACTACCAAATGGGCCTGTCAGATGGAGAGGTGGAAAATTAGGCCTAAAGCTTACGCCCTGCGCCAGTTCTTCTTCTGTTGTACGCTTCCGGGAATCCGGGAAACCAAAATTATCTACAAAGCATACACCAGATTCTTTTCATATCTTCGCTGCTTCAACATAGACGTGGCGGCTGCTGTCCTCTTCGACCAGAATACTCTTCAACGTTGACGTCGCGTGAAACGATAACAAGGACCTCGAATACAGCCGGGATACCTCGAGAATCGACGGGGATATGCACGGACTCCGGTAGAGTTGAACAGTTTTCTTTTGCTGGAGTATTTACTACTGCAACACATATTTTAAGCGTGCCAATTAAGAGGGTAGATTTTCAAATCTTTTGAAATGTGTGCCAGTATAAGCTTTTGGTGCGTTGCTCAAGGAAAAATTTGGTGTGTTACTCCAGGAAAAATTTAGTACATTGTTCAAGGGAAAATTTTGTGCGTTGCTCAAGAAAAATGTATAGGTACCTATTCAATAAAGTAAAATATATTGCGTTGCTCAAGGGTAGCTTTATGTCAAATCTAATTAAATAAATAGATTATCAAATCCATACATTTAATGAATAAGTTAAAAAGTTCTTTGTCTAATTCTTATATATACTCCTTATACCAAATTGGCACTCCCTTACAATCTCATTCTAAAAATTTCCCCTTCATGTGATATGTGATTTGATGTTGCTGCTTAGCATGGATGTTAGGGGCACCTTCTTTGTTCGACAATAGTTACTATTTCCATACATTTAACGAATAAATCAAAAAGTTCTTTGTCTAATTCTTACACACACACACACACACATATATATATCAGATCTTTGGCTTTTTATATTCTATAAAAAAACAAATTGAACAAGGAAGATAAAATTCATAAAAGATTTAAGCACCATAGTTGAATATTGCCAATATTTAAAATAGAAAATGTAAAAAGATAAAGAGTGAAAGATCCATAGATATGAAGTTTGAAACAAATTTTTTTTTAACTGATATCATCATATCCAATAAATAAAGATCCATAGAAATGAAAACACATGTATCACAAAATTCAAACATTCAATGTAGTTTATAAAAAAGTTTTCAAAACTTATAATGTAATGGATCCACATTTTGTATTATTGCTTATTTCCTTTTCTTTAATATTTTATTTGATTATATATTATTATGTTAATTTAATTTTATCATTTTCCTTCATCAATACTTTTTCTGACTATTTAGTTTATAATTAGACCGTGCAACGCACGGGTACGAGTCTAGTTGTAATAAAAAAAAGAAGGATTTTAGTGAACCTAGATAGAGTATAAGATGGGATTGTTTAAATAGAAAAAAGATTAAGAAGGTTTGAAATTTGAATTTTAAAAAGAATTTTTTAAAAAAGAGGTAACCGTGGTGACACGGCGATGTGGGAATTGGAGCAACATCCTCTGTAAATAAAGAGGGAATGAATTTGTTGTCATGAATAGCTTCAAATGACCGGTAATAATAATTCACTTATAAATTGCGATTTGCAAATAGTGATATTCTTTAAACTCCATCCGTAAAAAGATAATGCTTGCAGCACAAGAAGCAGCCCACAGAGATGAATCCTCCTCTCCTTCTGCTGCATACACTACTCATTTTGCTTTGCAAATATCCAGGACTCAATTCAGAATTAGACTAATATTGTGCACGACACACAAACAAGTTGTAAACAAATCGGAAAAAAAAAGTGTATCATGAGCTAACCATTGAAAGGAAAGTGAAAACAGATACTTCATAATACTTTCATCTCCAGTAATAAACTAACGTCAATACCCAAAACTGGAAAAGAAAACTGTCGGTAACTTTAGTGACATCGGCTATTTTATGTAATTGAATTTACTTAGATTGGACAAGAATTTTAATAAATGTTGTTAGTAAATTCGAAGGTGTGGAGTGTGCACGCCCATTGAGGAGGGCGGCTGCCCCCGGGTAGCGGGGTCCCATGGGACAGAGCCCTTGGCCTGGGTCAAGGGGCTAAGACATGTTGAAAAATTTGTATTTTTGACATTATTGCTTTATGGAAATCCTTAAGATTTTCGTAAACAAAGTCTAAAATGAGTAACATTTGAATGTGTAAAGTGATCATTCGAATGTAGGCATTTTCCAGACTTCACTCTTAGCAGAACATCGTTGAACATTCAAATGTTGTTAGAAACATTCGAATGTTTGATGATAACCTGAAGCACACTCTGTGATCTGCTAACATTCAAATGCTGGTATTCAAACATTTGAATGTTTAACGCTGATTCGCGCGTAAGTCGTTGCAAACATTCAAATGTTTGAATAAAACATTAGGATGTTTACACGACAGCTGGTTGTGTTTTTTCACACATAGTCATGTCCAATCACTCTTTTCTCTATATCTATAGGGAACCACACTATGTTTGAGATACAAGAACATGGATATTCTCGTTTTAAATTACTTACGTCTTATTCGATTAAAGTATTTTGGTATTAGCCCAAAATAACTTTAATCTGAAAGTGTTTATACGTGATTTGTCAAGTCTATCTTCATGTTTTCTGTATACCGATTCTTCGTTACATCCCTTCCCAAAATTTCCAACAAACACTACAATACCTCAAGCATAGAGTAATAATGATAGACCTAAATAATACACTAGAACAAAAATACAGAATAAGACATGATCATTAAAACATACCACTGATATGAACAAGGGTTTCTCTACCAGACAAATCTGTAACATGCTGACGAAAAAAAAAGGTTTAACGAATCATAATCATGTTTCAGGATAAAAGACTAAATTTTTTTTAAATGATTGGCTCATCGAATAATCAAAGAAAATGCAAGAAGACTTACAATGGAAGTATCATTCAACGAGGAAGAAATGTGAGCAACGCCAAACACCTTTTCCATGCATTGAGACCAAACATCATGACTAACCGGTCAGTAATAAAGCAGTAAATTTCAAGAAATAAAATTCTTGGAAACTCAAAACATACAAATCCAATCAATTTTGAGATAGAAACATCGTCTCATTACAATTCAATTATACCTCTCTCTCCAGCAATGATAGGGGTACATACCCCGGATTATAGCCTACAACCTTTTTAAGCATAGAATTCTTATTTCCACTTTTGTTTTTTTTTTCACACCAAAAAACATAAGCTACAAATTCTTATTTTAACTGATCACATCATTCTATTATGAAGTATACATCAATATCTTATTTTTATTCATTAAACAAAATTAAAAAGTTAGTTACAAAATACACGGACCTTAAATTTGCCAAAAGTTAAAATCAGAATTAAAATTATTGTTTTCAATTCCAATTTCATAATTAAAATTATGTGTATCAGAGCAAAGGCAACGGCGTGTAAATGAGATGACATGCTTGCCAGCTCGGACAAAAACCCTTCTTTCCCTCGCATGTGCATACCGTTCCTCCATGTTTTCCAAGTGAGGTGCGAGACATTACAGTAAACTCCAATCCATTTCTTTGGCTTTTTGTTTTTTTGTTTTTGTGGCGTAATACAAATCTTTTTAAAGTATAATTATTATATTTTTTAAAAAGAATTTTTTAGATGTAGTGGAACTATTTTTTTTGGTGTTTTTTTTAATTTGTAAGTTTTATTTTTATTCTTTTACCAATTTTAAATAAAATGATTTTATAAAACAAGGAGTTTTGCATCATAATTCTAAAATGTAATCTAATTTGAGATGAAAGGATAAATAAAAATATGGAGCATATACGAAAAATAATTTTTATTAATTAAAATACATTTTTATAATGTAAGTTTTTCAGTAAATATAAATATTTTTATGTTAAGATAAATAGGTAAATATTTTTAATAATTCAAATATAGCAAGAAAAAATGAAAAAAAGTACTCCCTCCGTCTCACTCTCTTTGTCCACTTACTTTTTGGCACATCATCCAATGCACTTCTTTAAACCATTTTATCTTGTAATTTGTATATTAAAAAATTATAGAAATTATATATTAATAATCTATATGTTAAGACAAATCAAACAAGATCACACATGACTATATTTAAGCTTACACATTGAGAGAATTTGATGAGTCAAAGTACTTAGATGAACAGTTCCAAAAGTCAAAATTGGACAAAGAGAGTGAAATGAAAGTAGTAATAAAAATAGTAACTTGCCACTGCAGAACATGTCACTTCACTCAGTTGCCACACGCTAACTGAACTACTTTTAATTGATTAAAACGTTCCACATCAGAATGGCATTCCAAATTTCCTTCACTACTGCTCATGCTCTCAATGAAGCCAAAGAGTGATGCTTCCATGATTCTTAGAATCTTAGGACATCCTCAATGGTAGTTTGAATTCTCATATTCACTCTCAAGATTCTCAATTTTATTCATCCAATAAAAATTAAAAAACCAATGCTCCCAACTGTAAAAAAAACTCAATCATAAATTAAGTCAACTTATATGATTTTATATTGTTATGCTTCTTTTATAATATTTATTTTACCAAAAAAAAATTATAAATAAAGATATTTAACCATTAAGAAAGTCAACAACATAAAGTATAAAAAAATTATATAAAATTAAGATCCATAAAATAAAATAAGTCATTTCATTACAATCATTCAAGGAAACATACATAAATATAAATTGCATAAGATAAAATTTAAAACACAATAAATTAATATTAGGGAGTACATAAGTAAACACAATTGAGATATAAAATGGCATGTTCAACGGGAAGTAAAGGAGCAATTTTTTCCTTCAGGTGTCACTGTGTTTTGTTACCAAAGAATTAAAATACTCCGTATTTTTTTTTGAGAGATTAAAAAATACTCCGTATAAAATTGAATTAAAATGAGTTTTGTCCCTAAAAAACATAAAATTGCATAAAATAAAACTTACAAAATAAAATAAGATCACAACAATATTAAAGTATACAAGTAGACTTATTATCATTCAAATTTAATTAATTAATGAATTCTTATTAATTTACTTCTACAAAATGTGTATTAAAAATTTAAAAAAAAATAAAGGGTTGAAGCACCAATTTGAAGCCCAAGATGCTTCAAAATCATTTTTAGTGAAACTATAACGTAAAATAAAAAGAAGTTAAAACTGATGTGAAAGAAAATGAGTTTGAAGCTCAGGCTTCAAACGTATTTCCAGGGGGTCAAGCAGACACTATATTTAAAGAGAGTTGCAACTCTCAATGTTTTAAAGCATACACTCAATAAGCTTCAAAAAACTTGCTTTGCCACATCCCGCAACACACCTCAACGGGAATGATGCTCTTGGTTTAGTACTAGGCATAAAAATCATACTTGTAAACTTACAAGCAGAAACATTAAAAAAAGATAATTTGTACAAAATGAATGATTCTTGTACTTGTACCACCCCAGAAAATCAACTGAAACAGAAGAAATTCAGCTGACAAAGTAAAGAATGGAAATTTATGTGGAACTATAATGCAATACCCATCCAGCACTTGATCAGCTAGACAGGCAATTTAAAATTCATAGTTCCATCGACAATTCGCAACAAATAAGATATAGAGCAATGGTGCAACAACAAGAATCACTTTGGAATACTATGACAAAAAGGAGATAGTTTTAGGTCTTCATAATTAGGCCAAACCAAAGAAGTTACGCCATTTTCACAGATCCAAAAATAAGAAAACATGCAATGAAATTCTCAACTTTTGTCTAGATAATCAAAGTAGAACACAAAGGCATCTGTAAAATCCCAACCACAAGGAAAATATAGGAATCACAGCCTCCTTCCTCTTCTTCCACTCTTTCGGCGGGTGCTGTCGGTGGGAATCGGAGTAACATCCTCTGAAAATAAAGAAGAAATGAATTTGTTAGTCAAATGGGTAGAGCATGTGTAGTGGCAGTTATCATGAACGACCAATTAAAACTGTGTGGAGGGGAAAACAATAACAGAATACTCTTATCTTAGTAATGGTTATCCTGAATAGCTTTAATTGATAATAAAGCAGTAAATTTCATTCCATAATTAGCTAAAGCTAACAGAAGCTAAAGTAACATTACAATGAAAAGTAAGATAAATTGTACCTATGCGTCCGATTTTCATTCCAGAACGAGCAAGTGCTCTCAAGGCAGCCTGTGCACCAGGTCCAGGTGTCTTTGTCTTGTTCCCACCTGTAGCTCGGAGCTTGATATGCAGTGCAGTTATTCCAAGTTCCTTGAAATAAATATTGTCAGTTCCTAATCAGATTAAGAAAACCCAGAAATAAAAATGTTGATTAATTGATACATTAACGAATACAACGTACCTTGCATCGCTGGGCAACATCTTGTGCTGCAAGCATAGCAGCATAAGGAGAAGATTCATCTCTGTCGGCTTTAACCTTCATACCACCTGCAATTCAAAGGCATACACTACACATTTTACATTGCAAAATTACAAACTACAACATAAACAAAAATTTAGCACTCAAATCAGAACAGACTAATATACAAAAAAACAAGTTGTACTCAAATAAATAAAACTAGTAAAACATGAGTTAACCATGGAAAGAAGATTGGAAACAAATATTGTATGATTCTTTGATCTTCACAGATAAACAAATGTCAATAACCAAAACTGAAAAACTACAAATACTCAAGCGAAGACTAATAGTCATAGGCCTAAATGAAAAACTCAAATAAAAGTACAACATACGAAATGATCATTTAAGCATACCAGTGATACGGACAAGGGTTTCTCTTCCAGACAAATCCGTAACGTGCTGGAGTAAAAAAACAAAGGTTTGGGGAATTACAATCAAGATTAAGGATGAAAGACTGGGTTTTTTTACGATTAGATGATCGAATAATTACAGCAAACATCAAAAGACTTACAATGAAGGTATCATTGAAGGAGGCGAAAATGTGCGCCACACCAAACACCTTCTCCCCGTCCCTTATCGCAGGTCCAAGAGTGACATTGTCCTCCTTGGGCTCTCTGTTCCTTCTCTTCGACTACAGATCCAATGAAACCAAACATCAAAGACTAATCGGTCAGTAATAAATCAGTAATTTTTCAAGAACTCCATTTCTCACAAAGCTCAAACCATAGAAATATAGAAATTTTTCTGTAGTTATATAGTCGCATTAAAAATCAATGATAAACACGAGAGTATCTTAACGAGAGAGAGAGAAGAAAGAGCACCATGGCTGGCCGGCTGGATTGGATGAAGAAGAAAGGGAGCTGCAACTACGAAGCTTCAAACCCTGGCCTCCGAGTGAATTAGGGTTTGTTAGAGGGGGTACATATAACACGCCGACGTCGATCCGTATATCTTTTGGGCTTGAGTTGAAGCCCATTCTGGCGGCCCACTTGTGAAAATTTAAAAACCAAAAAAAAATTGAAAAAAAAAATATTGACAGCTGTGGGATTTGAACCCACGCCCTTTCGGACCAGAGCCTAAATCTGGCGCCTTAGACCACTCGGCCAAACTGTCTTGGTTGCATCTTCGTGGTGACCAACGCAATAAGTAGACTATACATAATAGTGTCTCTAATCAGGATATAATAAATTTAAGATTTTGATTGAATAACACTATCCTTTCTAAAGGAGATCACTTGACAACTTTAGTTGGGGTGAATGTAGATGTTTGATCCTAGTAACCATTTTTTTTACTATTCTCATACATAACACTCGAAATGCTTTGTATTGGAAAATCATAATAAAGTATTTGAAGATTAAGGATACGTTTGGATTGAGGGAGATAAAATTTTATTAGGTAGGTAATGAAAGATGGTAATGGAAGATAGGTAAAATAAGGTAACAAGTTGAAAATTTGTGCTTAGATATTTATTAAGTAATGTGAGGTAAGTAAAAATAATAAAATTACTTAAATATCTTTGTTCTTGATTTGCTTTATTCGGTTTTTGGAGTAACTTCTGTCGATTATAATTGACCTTATACATAAAATTATATAATATTCTAATTACGTAAAACAATATTTTGATAAATATTTATAAGTTAAATGTAATAAAAATATTGCATCAATTGCAAACATTCTACTTCAACAAACAGATGAAAAAAATACAAAATTTATTTAAACATCAATTTCAAACATTGTATTTTTTAACATACAAACAACAACAAAAATACACAAAAAAAATCTCTGCATCAATCTCAAACTTTCTAATTCAACAAACATAAAAAAAATACATAAAAAAATTTCTTTTGCATCAATTTCTTTTGAGACGTTCCCATGAAATTGGCTCTGATACCATGTAGAATTTTGGAAAAACTGAACTGATTTTCGTTGAATATTCACAACGTATATATACATGTGCCAAGTCTTACTACAATTATGGAAAGGACTACTTACAAGGAAATAAATTACAAGGTAAATAATTACATATATGGAAGTAAATAAACATATATATGCTAACAGTAAAAATACTAATTAATTCTAATAATAATAATAATAATTAATAACAAATAATAATAATAGAAAAAGAAGAAAAAAGAATTTAAAACAAAACAAAAATAGAAGAAGAAAAAAAAAGAGGAGAGTGGAGGGCTGGATGAGATCCGAATTTGGAGGAGGAGGAGGAGGAGAAGAAGAAGAACCGTGGATGGGAGGAGCCCAGGGAGAGCTGGGCTGGAGTGGAAGAAAGAAAGAAACGGAAGAGAAAAAAAAAAGACAGGAGAAGGAACGCGTAAATTTTACCTGAATTACCCGCAAATTCGGGGGACGGATATATTCCACTGGTAGGGGGTTACTTTACCTTTCCTGACCTCCATTTACGTACGCCTATTTCCTCCCCCCAAACAAGGTAATTTTTAATCTTACCTTATTCTATTTCTCCCTCTCTCCATCCAAACAGAGTGTAAACATTTTTTAGTCATTATGTGGTCCAATGCTCATGTCAATATTCGAATACTACCAAGAAAGTATTCGGAATATCAATAACATTTTGTTTGCCTTAAAAAATGAATACTAAGGTATTACAATCAAATGTTTTTATTAGGCAAAAGGAATTTTGATCTATTCTCGATCTCAACCATTCAAATTAAGAGTTGATATTTCCCATTTATGTAAAAGTGTCATCCTAAGGATATCAAACTTCCTTTTCCTCTTCAATGAGTTATTCAAATACTCTTGTGAATTTTCATTAGTCCAATCCCTAAGGATATCACTTTGGACATTAATACTCCCTCCGTCCCCCTAAAATGTTCTCATTTTGACTTTTGGTGGTTTTTAAGGAGAGTTGAAAAAAAGTGAAAGTTTACCATAATACTCTTAAATGATGTACAATGAAAAAAATGAGAATGCATATGATCTTTGAAATTTAAGATCTAATTACTATTAAAAATAAAAAATATGAAAAATATAAAAACCATGGTAGCAATTTTTTAAATAAATAAAACTTTTCTTCGAGTTCTAAAAATGCATTGCTATAAATGTAAAGTAAATCATAGTGGCCCGAAAATGCACCATTATCATTTCTCGCAACGAACATCATTCTCACCTTGACCGGCATATATATATATATATATATATATATATATACACACACACACACACATACACACATAGACACACACACACATTTATCTGTGTTTTTTTCTAGAGAATGAGAGCATTGAAAGTGATAGAAAGGTAGAGAACGGCTCAAAAGGAGAAAAAAATAAACTTCTTGCTTTCGCTCCAACCGCCAACACTCTCACCGGAAAAAACTCAGCAAAACGTAATCTCTAACTTGTTCGCCATGCAACAAAGATCTCACTCTATAATTCTAGAGGCTATCCTCACAATACTGCTTTCACCTGCTCAAGTCTAGTACATGTGCTTCAAGCTACTCCTCTTTACCGATGATCAGGTTACGTGGGGATATTAGGAATAGTAGATGTATTAGGAAATAATTAAGATATTTTTTATTATAACATTCCTTGTTGTATTGTTACTATTCCCTCCGTCCCAAATTATAATGTCTGTTTACTATTCACAGGGTCAAACATCATTCACTTTCTTTCTCTATTTCCGTTAGCAATTTGATAAAATAAAATATTATTGTCACTACTAGTTTTGTAGATCTTTTGGTGTAGTTTTTTAATATGTAATTTTTATTTTTTAATTCTATACCATTTGTCATATAAAATAGTTTGAAAATAATTTCAGTCAAACATCGTAAACCGAAACAGACGTTATAAAATGGGACGGAGGTAGCATAATTCTTCTCCTACTATGATTAAAATTTTCTTTTGTAATCCCTATATATAGGGATATATCCTTCATTAATCAATGCGATCAATTAGGAAATATCAAGGAGGTTGAAGATTAACAAATGCTTATGGAAATATCATAACTCCACAGCACAATGATTACTTTATTCATAATCTTTTAACAAGAAAGAATCTCTAGAAGGTAGAATGACCATATCACATGCTCTCATATCACCAGTATGAGTGGATGGAGCATTTACAATCACGTCTGTGGTTTACAATACACAGGTGCTATACATACAGGCAATTTACTGAGGTGGTATGCTATTTTAAGTTGGAAATAGAAAGAAAGAAAAAAATGTTAGAGTTGCACATAGAAGATGCTTATTTTGGAGCAAACATGGGATAAAGGTAAACTCGCAGTAGATCCATTCACAACAAAAGCCGATATAATCTCAACTCTGCTATGACAAGATATCCGCGCCTTTACCCTGCAACAAGCCGTGTGCTTCCGTTAGATCATTGATGCATTCATGCATCTATAACACAACATTAACAGAAAAGTATGAAGCGGTGTAATTTTGTTTACTTAGGCTGCGTTCTGTTCGCCTGATCTAATCCGATTTTTTGAAGATCTGGTCTGGGCGGATCTGGTTTTAATAAGAATAAGTAATAAGCTGAAAAAATAAGTTGAACGGAACGCAGCCTTAGTATATTATGTACCAGAGCTAAACATTGTCCACAATAACTCGTTTAGCTCCATTGATAATGGACATGAGTAGATTCATTCACAAACTGGGAAAACAAAGGACATCAAAAAAATGATTTTTGATATGTTACCTAATCAAATGGATCAATTCGAGGGTCGTGCTCGCTTGCCATCACCATCCCGGTGCAAAGGCATGTAGGGCACATCACCTTGGGTAAATAAAAACAAAGGTTAATCCCCCTACAGCAATCAGCTAAAGTTGGCATATAAGAAAGCAAACTGGTGAGGCAATATAAAACTTGTAGCTTTGATGCATGGAATCAGGCAGTGCAAACTAGATAAAATTTATTTCTCCCTTAAAAAAGAAGACTAGATAATTGGTTGATCCCAAAAGTTAACGAACAAAAACATATCCTTCATTTTTCTGACACTAGATTTACAGACAGGTCTACAAAATTTGGGGATTATACATCATGGTACATAAAACGTACCTTTCCTGCTCCAGAACAATTTTGGCATCTTTGAAGAGATGGGTTGGAAGAAGCACCATTTACTGAGATGGGCTCCGCTTGCATGCATCTACCGCTTCCAGAACAACGTGCACATGCCAGGTACCCTGCTTACATGATCATGTATATACAACAGATAATCGCTAATCCTTTAGACAATCTCTAATACCATCCAACTGTAAGGTTCAGATCACAAGGATACACCATAATAGGATAAGAAAAATTAAACTGTGTTACAACTAGAATCTAGAGAGAGAGAAAGATGTACCACTTCCAAGGCAATATTTGCACCTTTTCTTCTCTTGTCGGACTACATTGTTACCTTCAATTACCATCAAGCATGAAATTACTCCTACTGCCCCACCTGAAAATGAGGCCACTATGGGGTCTACCTGGCTGAAAATATACCATAATTAGGAGAAACCCGTAAATAAATGCATGCAAAGATTGTCACTCGCACAACAATGTGTAGAAATTGAGTGAAGTATTCCCCAAAAGTTTCATCATGTACCTTAGTTGCATTGGCAGATGAAAGTTGCGTATGAAATCTGCATAAGACGTGCCTCCTAATCCTAGTCTCAGCTCAAGCTGTTATACCAAAAGAGGTTTATTACTTCAAAGTCTTAGTTACTACAGTAGCCCATACATCGGTGATCTCCTTTTTTAGAAGACTGCTATCAATACTCGATAGAAGTATACAACATCAATATCATTCAACAATTTTTTAGAAGACTGTTAACAACAGTAGAAAATGTTTTTAAAAAAACATCATACTATCATTATTTCAAAATTTATGAACTTACAACTGGTGCAAGTAAGCCCCCAAATACAATAATTCCAGAAATGAATGAAAAGCTTGTAAGGTAGAGCTGCTTCAATGTCTTTGGAGTCTGTTCCGAACAACAAGGAACATATCTTCAGTCAATACAAGCCAGTGTTCTATTTTACGATTCGGTAATCAAGGTGACAAAGTGAAAATCAATTTAAACTGCAAATTTTTCCATAACTTCCTAAAATGTTGGTAAACCTATCAAATACATCAAAGGCAACTCAAGCAAAATCGGATAAAGCTAAAAACTAACAAATAAAGTTGTGGATTTGGATCAAAGTAATCAGTGTTGATATCAATATTTTTCTCGTGACCCATTCCATGTTTGTCAACTGTTTACAATAACAAGTGACATTACAGACTGCAACAATTACAACAGAGTATAGCACTCACGGAGTCGGTGGAGGAAAATCAAACCGATGGCATAATCAATGCCCTTTACATGTTTAAGCGGTAAAAAAGTCTGAATTGGACATTAGTTACCATGGTAGTAACAAAAGGAATTGTTGATGGGATATCAGGCATCTCATCCTCCTCTTCGCCACTCTCACCCATAACTTTTAAGCCCTTAAGGCGTTGTTGTATTCGTAGCCTCCGAACCTATACTCATTAAAAGGTAAAACCGGGGGCTATATGACATGGAAATGGAAGGAATTAATGGAAACAGTGGAGTTAACTATTAGTTTCAAAGGCATTAGGATTACACACTGTCAGATCAAAAAATTTCAAACACTCAGCAGCACCATTGGACAAATCAAAACTCACCTCTTCCATAAGGAGAAAAATCTTATTGCGCCTACTCCGAATGTTATCTTGGATTTCTTGGGCCTCCATCTGAACCAAGTCCTGAACAGTCTCAGGCCCTTCAATAATGCAGAAATTGCTGCAAAGAAACGAAATTTCTCACGGACAATACAACAAACACGTGGACTGCATCATCAGAAAATTCATACCCGAGATGAAATCCTATGTTGCTCGTTCAATTTCACTAAGACCGGCAGAAAAGATTCAAGCGGAAGTAACAAAGGCAGAGGCTTGAATGCCTAACCTGGGAATATTTTCTGCAGAGGGGATGAAATTGGGTCCGGGCTTTGAAATTGAGCATGGCGATAGAGTTGCTGGATCATTGTTCTCCGAAAATAAAAGGCGTTTGGGGATCTTTCTGCCGGAAAGGGGGCTTCTGAGAGGGGAGATTGGGGTTCTTTGGAATGATGAGAGGCGAAAGCTGATCAACCCAGAAGACATCTTCACCCCTGTCCTCTTCTGCCCACCCCACTGCTTCCCGGGTATGTTATACTACTCCCCAGCAACTGTAAATATTTGTCATTGATTGACTTACATTCCTTCACCCAAGTCCCCAACCCACAACGGACGAGCGAGAAAAATAAGAACAAATTTTCACTCGACTTCTTGAAAAATCTCCATTACTTAATTTCTTTTCATTTTTATGTCTAAAAATCTCATTCTCGTTTTCTACTTAAACAAAAAGTTTTTAGTGAATGTTTCATTATAAATTACTTTTTTTTCGACTAATCACTTTATTTAGTCACATCAAAGAGGACAAAACATGAAAATTCTGTACATTTTTTTACTTTATCTTAATCTTTGTGTTAAGTCAAAACGTGAAAGAAATCTTTGGACGAAAAGAGTGGCTATCCTATGTGTGGTGGGGAGTTTGAGGAGACTTGACATAACTTAATAGGTACTCCCGCCGTCCGAAAATAAAGTTTACGTTTTTCCTTTTTCTCCGTCCGAAAATAAAGTTTACATTTCTAATTTTAATCCATACTCTTCCAAAACTACCCTTCTCTACCTTTCTTTCTCTTCTTTTTTTCCTTATTTCTCCTTTCTCTTCTTCACCACTTTTCCCTTTTTATCCTCATTCTTTCTTCCAGCACCTCTTTTTTCTCTTCTTCTCAGCCACTTTTCTCTTCTTCTCCGCCACTCTCCTCCCAGCGCCTCATTTTTCCTTTTCTTCTTTTTCTCCTTTCTCTTTGTGTAGATCTAATTTCTTTTCTTTCTCATCCTCCTTCTCCTTCTCCTTCTTTCTTCTAGATCTAAACAGAGCTGTAATTACAGAGATGAGAGATGACGGCGATTAAGGTGCTAGCGGAGATGGTGGGATTGATAGCGGTGGTAGGGCTGGGGGTTGTGATAGGGGATGGAGGCGATTGGGGGTAGGCGCCTGGGGGTGACGGGAGTGCTCGCAGAGATTGGGCTGCGGCTGTGGCGGCGAGGGCTGTTCTTGCGGTGGTGACAGAGAGTGTTCTTGTTGCTGCGGCTGCTGTTAGAATCCGATAAGGTTAAACGGCATTAGATCTAGCTGATGCATTTGCTATTGCTCAAATGCCCTGAACATTCCAGCCCACACGCCCCTTTTTTTCTCCCTTCTTTTTTTTCATTAAGGATATTTTGGTCATTGTTAGTCAACTTCCCTTAAAAATGATCAAAAGTCAAAACATAAACTTTAATACCGGACGGAGAGAGTATAAAAGAGTAGAGTATGGAGAAATAAAAATGAGTATTATGCTTTTAGCTTTTTACTCCTACCTTTCAATTACCTCTTTTACTCGCAATATTTAAAGTTAAAACTTTACATTATTACTTTTTGTTTCTTTTCCTTTCCCCCAAATTGAAAAAAAAAACTCAACTTATTTTTTTTTCAAAACAAACATTCTTATTTGGCCCGCGGTATTGTATGTTAACTCAATATGGTCCATTTTAACTCAATTCACGAATGGCATTTGATAATGAATTAGGATTGCATAATTCAAATATAAGTTAGATTCGAATATTAAACAATTGCATAGAGATGTACAAAATAAGAAGGGGGTACAAAATCCAGTGTGGGCCGTAAAATCGGAACGGACCGGCAGAAAAACTTGTTCCGGGCTAGACCAGTAAAATTCTGGACCAATCTCGGGTATAAACGTTAAGGACCGGTAAAAATTTGGTCCATTCCGATCTAAAGCCGGATAATTTCTGGATCGGACCGATAAGACTGGAATGTAATTTTTTTATTTTTAACACCTATAACTATGTGATTATAAATACAACTTTATGTTTTTTTTCTTCTTAATTTATTATAGAGTATAATCTTCTAAATGTAATATGTAAATTGTAATTGATTTTCACTACTTTTTATAATTATAACCATTGACTTTTACCCAAAAATCTCCATAATTATAAAAAATTAAAACAATTTCAAAAAAAATTGAAGTACTCCCTCACCGGAGGTGGTTTTTAAGAGAGTGTAGAAATTGAGTTGACCTTCCTAAAATGCCCCTCAAAACCTTCTTTCTCCCTCTTGACACTGGCCGAAACATGCCTAATCTGAACCAAAAACACTTGCGATGTTGTCTTCTTTCAATACACACAGAGGCATGGTTCTAAAACAAAATCAAAAATCAAAATTGCAGCTAAATACATTTATATAAAATAAATTATAAAATTGGTCCAAGCAACGACATGAAGGCGGGGATCTGCTCCCTCTTCACCGGATCTGAAACGGAGTGGCGACGGCGACGGTGGAGTGGCGACGGTGGCTGCAGTCTCTGTGCGCGGCGAGGTCTGATCGGCGATGGTGGCAGTCTCTCTGTGCGCAACGAGATGAAGGCAGATTTGGGGGATCTGCCCTCTCCTCACCGTTTTCTTAGATCTGGATATTAAGATAGAGAGAGAAGAAGAAGATGATTAGATATAGATTTTGAGGGGGGGCGGAGGAGAGAAGCAGCTGAGAGTGAAGAGAGATGAGAGTGATGATTGACAGATCGAGTAGGTTGAGAGAGTTGAGGGAGGGATAAAATAGTCAATTCATACACTTTTTTAAAAAATGAGAAGGTAGTTTTAGGACGGAGAAAAAAGAAAAGTGGGAAGATGGTTTTAGGACGGAGGGAGTATAATATTTCAATTTAGAGTATTAGATTATTTGACATTTAAATTATTTTCTAAAAAACGAAATAATTTAAAGTATGACTTTATAATGATTTTGAAATCCCACAAACTAACAAAAGTAAAAAAACATATTTTAAAATAAAAACTTAAAGGCGGCCCAAAACAGACTGCTCCCTTAACCAGCCGTTAAAAACTTAAAGGCGGCCCAAAACTCACATATATTAATAAAGTTGAGATTATTATTTATTACAGAGAAATGTGAGATTATTTTTGAAAAGCGGGGTAAGATTGGGATTATTTGGACAATTTTTCCTATTTTAAACTTACCATATTGTTGATTAAAATATTTTACATTAGTATAATCTTTTGAAGCACGCCCAATAAATATAAAAATTAAGAGTAGGGTTGATTGGTTGAAATCAATTCAAATCAAGCTACATTATTGAAAAACAAGTCTAAGAAATTCGACAAAAAAATTAAAAAAATCTGGGTTTTGCGGTTTATACTCGTATCAGACCGGAAAAATGGACCTGGACCGATCCAGACCGGAATCTAAGAAATCCAATTTCTGGTCCTATACTTTAGGTGATTTCGATTTTCTGGGTACCCCTTGGTAATAAAGGAAGGGAGATCCAAAGGGAGCTATTGTTTGTGTTATCACAATCGTACTTGCAAGCTGATGGAGCCAACTATGTCTTGCTCCTTCATCTCCGAGCGAACCAAATGTTTACTACGGAGATTTTTCTTTTTTTGGCTTTAAGATTTGATAGAATGAATGATCATTGAAGGTTATAAAATGAAAATAGAGAGTTCAATTTGTGATTGAAACACACCATTGGGGGCCCTGGCCCATCATAGTTTGGGTTATGGTTAGTGGGCACAAGTTAGGATAGCCCATCTGCTCATGCCCTAAGAGAATCAAATCAAACCAGATTTTCAAAAAATCAAATCAGATCAAACATAGCCTTACTCGTAATATTAGAGCAAAATAGTTTATTGCTCTTTTCTGAAAGGTCCGAATAATAGCATCAAATTTAGGCTGCCGTCTAATTCAGATATCTTAATTTCGGTATCAGGTGCCCAAACTAGCCCTTAATGACCAAAATTCCATTTTGAAAAAACAAATTCGCATTTCTAAAAAAAACAATGGCATCATGTCCAAAATTCCATTTTGTATACAAATGAAGATTGAACTTAAACACATCAAAAGAAAACTACTAATGGCTCACAACATAAACAACCAGATTACTTTTAGGCGGAATACAAAATGACAATCCACTGTTATGATAGTGACAATCATTTGACATCAGAAACATGACTTGTAGGGTGCATGACAGTCATCACAAGGACAAAAAATTGGATAAGCAATGCCTAAGCCTTCCTAGGTTTGCTTGCAGCAATTTGAGACTCAGGCTGCAAATAAAAATTGAGGTAAGATGAGTTAAAAAATAGACATCATAAGAGGAAACAAAGTGAAAAATTTACGAAAACATTTCAACTTGCCTCCTTTTTTACAGGCTCTTCTTTTTCAGACAAGATCAACTCAATATGGCATGGGGAAGACATGTAAGCTGCAATGATACAAGTGCAACACGGTGTGAGGGAAGAACATGGTAAAGTAAAAACAATGTTTTGGGGAATTGGGAAAGCAATAAAGGAAGAATGTGGAACTTACGGTTAATTCGACCGTGAGCACGGTATGTGCGGCGCCTTTGCTTCTGGGCTTGGTTCACTTGAATGTGAGAGATGTAGAGAGAATCCACATCAAGCCCTTTGACCTGTAATTGCAGCATTGAAAATTGAACAATGGAAAGGGGTGATCAAAAATAATTCAGTACCTAACTAATGTGTCGTGTGTACGCACCTCAGCATTGCTTTCGGCATTTTTAAGCAAATCCAGAATGAATTTGGCAGATTTTACAGGCCATCGTCCCTGTCCATTGGGATGTCTGTTCTTCGCCTGAGCAGTCCTTCCAACACCTCTACAGAAGCGGGTGAAAGGAATGGCCTGTTTGTGGGCCAATACATCTTCAAGATACCTTTTTGCCTTTGTTAGAGGGAGCTTCCTAATAGCATGTGCTGTTTCCCTAGTGTTCTAGAACATAATTAATAAAAAAAACACAGTTATTGTATGTTACCATAGATTTTATGCAAGCAACACAAAAAAACACTAACAAGTAACGGTAAGTCTAAAATGACACCAGTGCTACTGGGGTCATTTGCTCACACTAGTTCATTTGGAGTACCTAAGGTGCTCTATTTGTAAAAATGACGGTTCCTACCCCATAACTCNAAACGGAGCACCGTAAGTACCCCAAACGAAATGGGGTAAGCAAGTGGTGTATAAGTAACTGGTGTCATTTTAGACGCTACCAACAAGTAATATTGATTTGTCCTAGGAGAATGTAAGGAAGATGATTGTTAATGAACTTCAATGAATGTTAAATCACAACTGCCCATCTTCCTAAAAATATAATTTTGCAGAGAAGTCTTTCGACCAAAGTGCATTAGTTATAAGGCAAAAAGTCGATACACACAATCTCTGCTTATAAATAAAAACTTAATATACAATGCTATGTATCATGTAACATACTTCATATACAAGAATCAACATGAAAGACTAGCATTTTAAGTTTTACAAAGTCACTCCATAGTACTATGAGATGCATAGCTTGAGAAATTAAGCCAAACAAGATATACACAAACATGCATAAGCAACAAAACTGTCAATTTAAAACTTGCATAAGATAGCAATGATTAGGTGGAATAAAAAAGTAGAAGAGAAAAGGGAATAAAGGTTTATGAAGCCAAAATGAATTCAATACAAATCGATGTAGGGATGGATGTAGGGAAGATGATTGTTGAAAGATTTCAACCAATTATAAAACACAACTGCCCATCTTCCCCAATGTACAATTTCGCAGAGTAAACTAAGGCAATGTGCATTGCATGCAAATTGCAAATACAAGCATAGATAAGATATATCCAACATAAGCTAACACAACTGCATCACAGAGACATGACTAAATCATAGTGTAATTGATGGATTTTTTAAAATTTTCAATAAAAAGAAAAACAAATTCCAGATGAAATATAAAAATTACTCTATAAAATGTTTTTTGATGAAAAAAATCATTCTTTAACAAAATGTAGCATCATTTACTGAACCATCAATCTTGGTCCACAGAGAACTCCAGAGGCTCACCCAATAATAATGCAAACTTATGTCCCTGACATCTACGAGAGACCTATTTACAAAAAGGCAATAGATCCCTGCTTTTAATCAGGTAGCACAAATGGAAGAATTTACTAATAAAACCCAGCAGGCACTTGAAGAAACCAATTTGTAACAAAACATGAAATAGTTTACGCGGAGAAGCATAAATATACCTTGAAATGAACTCTGAGATCTGCACCCCTGGCTTTGCAGGCTGCAATTCAAAAGAAAAATCATAAACAATAAGAGATCAAGCAAGAAGACGAACAGATTATGAATGTAGATGTGTTGAGAGAGATAGAATCATACACTTGGTGGGATTGTCGGGCTCCCTGGAATACTTCACCATTGCGTCGGAAGCAGAGAAAATGAATTTCCGAGACCAGAGCCAAAGGCGGAAGGGAAGAATATATACTCATGTGGATTCCATTGCAGGTTTCTAGGGTATAGTAAGGATGAGCGTTGGGCTCGAGTCCAATTGTAAAATGTTTAATTTGGGCATCATGTGCCAATTGGTCCAATATTATTGAAGGAAGCTCAAAAAATGAGGACTTGTTTAATCTCCTACTTTAAGAGTACAAGAGTAAATTTCATATTTGGTCTTTCACAATATAGGCGTTTCTTAATTTAGTTCTTTATTATCAAATATAACCTGGTGGTCCTTCTTTTACAAATATTTTCTATCATATTGGTGTTAATTTGAAGACCAAAAGTGTAATTTCACAATGATAATATATTTTTCTCTTCATACACAATTCCAAAGGCCGTTTCTGATGTGTCATTTGTAAATTACAGTCACTTTCTACTAACATCATAGTATACAAATGTGGTCATTCGTCTGAATTTTAACCCACAATCATAGTCATTATTTTTATGTTATCCGTCTAATAAATATCAGAATACGTCACTCGACATAGGGTTGACGTTAAACTATATTTTTAGCTTTTAAATTAACACCAACATGACAGAAAATTAAAAAAAGGACCACTTGTAAAAAACCACTCACAATAGAAGGACTATGATGTAATATTTGATAATAGAGAACTAAATATGGAAACCCCTTGTAATAAAGGACTAATAATGAAATTTACTCTAAAAAATGTCATTCAACTATTTTATTTTATCAAAAATACCATTATGCTTTATTATGTTACTTTACTGTTATTGAATATTTTATTACCTGTCAAAAATGTAATTGTCTTTCCTTTAAATCTACTAGTGCACGTTAAAACAAGAAAAAATAATAAATGACACTAAACTATTTTTTAAAAGTATTACTTTTTTTATTTCCATATATGAGAGGATAATTGTATTAATATATTATCTCCGTCCCAGTATATTCGTCCACTTTAAGTTTTTTTATGTCAAATTGGATGAACTTTAGACCTCAATTAAATAAAAACTATAATATATATTAGTATAAAAATTATTTAATTAAATTTATTTTGTTTAAAACTTTCATACTTTTATTTATTTGTATTTATATGGGATACAAATTGATAATAATTGATTATTAAAATTTTTCAATTAAGATTTGAAAAGCCAAACCGGATGAATAAACTAAGAAAGGAGTATAAAATTATTACTCTTACTTTGAGAAATTAGTTAAAAAAAATCTTTTTAAAATTTATTTTGTCTCAAGTTTTTTTTCTTTTTTCTATAAGAGTTTCTTCACCTTTTGAATTGTACTCCCTCCGTCCCAGAAAACATGAGAGTTTTGATTTTGAAGAGGGATTTAAAGGGAGTATATTTTGGTATTGAATTTCCAAAAATTAACTTTGATGTGATGAGTAAAAGTATAATTTGATTGATAGATTATTAGTAAAAAGGTATGATGTGATAGGTAGGGTATGAAAAAGTAAAAGGTAAAAGTGACTTTTTAATAGAAATGAGAAGTGCTTTTAAGAACGGATGAAAAAAGAAAGGAGAAAGGTTTTCAGGGACGGAAGGAGTATATCTCTACACAAAATTTCTAAAAGTATAATTTATTCTGTTAATATGTTATACAATTTTAATGTACTTAATGATTAGAATTAATTTATTTTGATTCAAAAAAATCAAATACAAAAAATATTTTGGGAACGTGAGAATAATATTAATCTAGTTTTCATGATGTGTTATTCAATTTGTTATTTAATTATAAAAATAAATACCAAATGAAAAAAATAGCATGCATACCAAATTTTGTTTTAAAAAATTGAATTTTTAATAAAATTATTGAAAAGAAACAACTTTGTTGGAAAAGAGAAGGATTGCCGATAAAAAATTTTAAAAACAAAAACTGATTGGTGGAATTTTTAATATAAAAACAAGTGGCATTTTTACCAAAAAAAGAGTTTAGTTGAATTTGTTAATTTTCTTTTTTTTAACCTACACTAACATGTTACATGGCAAGACACTAGTATTTTTGACAGGTAATTATAAATTAAGTGACAGTTTAGTAACAAAAGGATAAAAAGTGGTATTTTTGACAAAATATAATATTTTAGTGACATGTTTTTTAACTACACTTCCTACTTTAACGTAATTCTTTTGGAAGAAAGATTGAAGTATCACAAAAATATAAGGAAAATCTTAAAATATGATTTTTATATTTTTGTTTCAAAAATATGACTAAAATTTTTATATTCGCGCTCACCCATTAAAAAATCAATGTCGCCCAACTTCTTTATTAAATGTTTACAATTTTATTTAGTTATTAATAAAATAATCTAGTTACAATTACATTTTGTAAACATTTGTAATTACGTATGATATGTTTTCCTTGAACTAGAGTGTCTTTAAATGTTACTCCGTACTTCGTATGGTGCATTAAACTTTTAAAATTATATTATATGTTTTAAAAATACCATATCGTTACTTATATTCTGTTCATACATAAGTTAGTGACTTCTCTATAACATTATTGAATTCTCTATAAAATATTTTTTAAGTCTTATTTACTTTTTTTGCTCATTTAGCAACAAAATAAACAAATTTATACGGAAATTAACATTGTTGAATGTCTTATTTGACATTAGTACAAGAAGTCTACTCCTCGATCAAGATTATTGAGAAAACTCGACAATTTCAATTCGTTTCACATATGAGATAGTTTATAGTTGGACTAAACATCCGAGTATCGCCACCTACTGAATCCTTTTCGCCCTTAGCTTTTCTTCAAGGGAAAGCCTTGCAAGATGCTTCAACTTTCACAAAGGTTATATCAACTATCACACGTGAAATTTCTTTAGAAACATTAATTTTCGATCAACAAATAAGTCATTAAGAGTCTTATTGTTGACAGATCATATGACTCCGAGACACGTTTTATCTCCATGAAATTTTGAAATATCAACATGCTCTTCAATAGTTTATACTCTAGCACTCTCCAACCATTCATGGAAGGTTTTGAGCTATTTTAGCTCATATCTCAAATCTAATTGTTGTCCTTCCAATTCTTGGGTTTGAGAGTTGCTTCTGCCAGGTTTCTTTAAAGAGCATCAAGTTTAGTAGTCAGCCTTGTTTTCTCCATGACATCTCTTTTGTTCACCAATAGAAGCTCAAACGATTTCTCTTGCAACAGTACTAATTGTTCAACTTGATCATCTTCATTTTCAACTATAACTTGAAACGTATGTAAATGCACAGTTGCTTTTTCCATCTTCACCACATGCATTTCATTCATTGTCACACCATGTAACACTCTAACTCCCTTAACCCAACTCACACGAGTTAGCGGACTAAAATGTTAACAAATTGGTAAAGAGTGTAATATTTAGTCAAATTGGGGTCCTAATTTAATTTTAGCTAACAAATTGAGTAAGAGTGTAAAAACAAATATTTTATTGCATGCATAGTTTGGCCGATCATGAGAGTGCTAATAGTTTGTTTTAATCACATAATTTACATGAGAATGTTTTGTATAACGTAACTTAGCTTGATCTTCTAATGTGTCACTAAGTCTATACTCAACCCTTAGAGGCAATCGAGATTTTCAAGATCTACCGTCTCATATACGACTTTCAATTGTTTAAGGTTTACTCTTATTTTATTTTAAGGAGTGCATTGATGAATTCATTGCAGAGAGAGTGATGGGTTCTGAATTTGAATTATCATGTAAGATTTCAGATGAATTGGAAACAAACTAACCAATGACAACGATAAATACGTTGGTGATACTGTGCTAGGGAGCAGAGAATGAAAGGAAATGGAGCTCAAGGAGTGAAGCAGCACAAATGAAAATCATACTACATATCTCGTAAAATTAGTTAGAAGACAAAATTTGAATTTGTGATTTTGTTTTCAATTTGAAGATGGATAGTTTTCATTGACATAAAGTTTATTATCTAGCTAAACACCGTATGAAAAAACCCTTTTATATATATATATATATATATATATATATATATAAGCGAACTTCTAACTAGCGCTCCAAGAGTGCAACATGTCGCATGCATATGTGGCATATTTTTGACACATGAGTTTATAACTAGTTAATGAATTGGATAAATAGAATGAATTGGATAAAGGGAATAACTTTTTATTGTTTGAAGGAAATATTATCAAAAAAGAAATATAATTTAAAAAGTTGGTAAAAAAATATTTTTTCACAATTTTATATTTTCACTTTATTATATTAAAAATTTCAATTAATAAATAATATATATTCTTCACCTTTAAATACTTTTTTATGATATGCATACATAAAGTTAGTTTTTAATCATTTATTTAAGAATTGATATATATATATATATATATATATATATATATATATATATATATATATATATATATATATAATTCAATACATAAAAAACCTATAACACAAGAGACATCTGCATTTCTTTTTTAAATGATCAAATATTTAAATCGAATAAATAAAAAAAGATTTAATTTAACTTGGTGAATAGTAAAGTAAATTTGTGCTCCGATAAAATATTTTGTATTAATCAAACAACTACTCCGTACATTTTTTGTTTATTAATTTACATGACACTAAACTATGTTCTAAAAATTATGGAACAAACAAAAAAGTACATTTCATTGTTTGTTTTTAAATTTTTTTCTTATTCAAAAATTAATTTCTCTCGATCAATTTAGATTAATAAAAATAACTCCTTTTTTCATATTTGGAATATAGTTTAGTTTCATGTAGATTAATAACTAATAAAATCATACAATTTATATTAAAAAGTAGATGAAAAAATAATAATGAATGAAAATCTCAAAACCAATGAAATATAAAAAATAAAAAATTAATTTATAAATTATATGTATGACTTATGAACATAATAATAATAATAATAATAGTAATAATAGTAATAATAGTAATAGTAATAGTAATAATAACAAAAATAATAATATTACAGAGAAATAATAATAATAAAATTATATATATACCATTTTTGGAGGAAAAAAATATCATTTTTGGAGTCGTTGATTGGTGAGTAGAATGAATACG